TTATTTGTTTATTGATGCACTAAACTTTTTCATCGTTTTTACTTTTTCCACTTTTTTCTCCGCCTACAATAGATCAATCGAAAAATATTTATTACACATTTTGTTACATTTTGAAAAATTCCCTTTCAAAGTTTTTTTTTCTCCCTTCTTTTTTCTTTTTAGTCATCATTTTATTCACTAGTAATTGTTGAAATTTAATTAAATTTTAATTTTAATCTTATAATTATGAATATGTAAATTAAGTAGATAACAATTAATTACTTAAGTAGACTAATGTTAGAATAAATAAGTATAGAGAGTAGTGATTGAATAATTAATTATGATGCAAATAATAATAATTATTATTTCGGTTTCCTTTTAATAGACAACAGAACAATTTTAAAAAAAAAAGAAAAATATTTAGAATAAATTAAATGCATTAGATTAGCATAAAGTTTTTGATATTCTTACAAATTATTTAATAAAATAATAGATATTCGTGAAAACTTAATTCATATCAATTTTACATAATATTTGCATTTTAATTAATAAAACAAAAAGTTAATTTCAAATTGAGTAGCAAGCATAGTAACAAAAAGTTAACGAATTTTAAAGTTTAATTGATCAATATTTATTTTAAATATGAAAAATATGAGAAAAAAAAAACTTTAATATGAGTTTATTTGCAATATTTTTTGATTTATTTTAAGTAATAATAATATTATCAAAATGCATTAAAAAGCAGAAAAAAAAAAAAATAAATAAATAGTTACAAAAAAGTTTTCAATAATTTTTCTTTTTTTTTAAAAAAAATCAATCAAAGTTTTTTATTAGAAAAATTTTATATGCGTTTTTGTTTAAATATAATTTTCGTATTTTTCATGTAAGTGACTGATCAATTTCAATAATTTTCAATTTTTAATTGTAAATTTTAATAATTGAAAAAATCATTTTTAACAGTTATTTAGCGATTTGAAAAAATTATTTTTGACAACTATTAACAACATTGTTAAAATTTTAATTTATGGTTGTTTAACAGTTCAAAAAAATTTTTTTTTTTTGAGAGAAAATTTGAAGAAAATTTGATAATTTTGAAAATAATTGTTAAAAGCTCAACATAAATCAAATTGTTCATTAAAATAATTGCAAGTTAACATTAGTTATATTAAAATTTCCAGTTGAGAGAAAAAAAAAAATAATTTTTGCTGATTCTCAAATTATTAATAATTTCCTATCAGAAATCATTTTTTTCGTCTCTCTTCTTTTTTTGAAACTTTTGAAGAATTAAAAAAAAAAAAATATTTTTATATATAAATAATGCTTAGATACAAATCAATTGTTAATGATATTATTATTATTATTATTGTCATTATTATTATTAATATTATTATTATTATTATTTGTTATCCATGATAACGAAAAATGAAAAATAATTTTTTTTTTTGTTTACTTCATTCTATACTTTACGGATTACTTTTCTATTGATAATTGTTTTTTCTTTTTTTGTTAAATTTGCAAATTCTAGATGATATTTATCAGTGAAAGTGTCACAGTGTCATATGATTTGATTTATTTATTTGAATGGTTCAAAGAATACCATTATCACATCTTAGGAATGTTAAACTTTTCCAGTTATCGATAACCAAAATTTATTTAACAAACAATCAAATTCCTTCAATAACAATGCAATGTGTCTGTGTGTGTGTGTGTGTGTATGTGTGTATGTGTGATGCACGTGTGTGTGTGTGTGTGTGTATATGTGCACACATATAAAAAATGCAGTGAAAAAAAAAAAAAAAAAGATGCGAACATTACAAATGTAACATTTTAATAATATACATATGAATTTTTTTTAAATTTAATTCAGATTTTAAATAATAATTTTTAATTTTAAAAAATAATTATTTTTAAATAATTTTTAATTTAAATTGTTAGTTTTATATCTTGTATGATTAGTATGAATATGTAAGTTATTTATTTATTCACTTATAAAATTAAACAAAACTTTAAAAAAATGAAATTTTTTTAATATTTATTAAGGAATATACAAGGATATTCCGATTATGCTACGATCAGAATATTTTTTATTAATAAAATATTATCACAATTAATATATCAATTTAGTTGATAATTATTCGTATTGATTGAATGGAATAATTTAGTAACTTATAGTAAAAATTGTTCTTTTTTTTTTCATAAAACTCAGTATTGAAAATTAATTTCATTAAGTAATATACGAACTTGCGTTATAGTTGTATATATTATATTGTGATCACAAAATGTCATAGGTCAATTTTTACATATTATTATGGTGACAAAATGTCATAGGTCAATTTGTACATATTATTATGGTGACAAAATGTCATAGGTCAATTTGTACATTTCAAATTTTCCGTGTTATCAATGGAAAATGTCATTGGTTAAATTTAGCGAAAATGTTTGCTTACCATTTTGATAGCAAAAAAAAAAAATATGGCAATATTAAAAAATTTTTAAAAAAAAGTTTAATTTGACCATAGTGAGTCATCAATTTTTCCGTTTTTTTTTCTCTTTTACTGAATGATTTTGCCGGATGATAAATGATTAGAGCAGGAATGGTAACTGTTTAGTATTTGATAGAATTGATATTAGTTGATGTATGATTCATTACAGGTTTCTCTGTTCGGTGATTTTACCAGGTGGAAACCGGTCAGTGAGAAATAACTGTTGCATACTGTCCCTCACAAAGGCTGTTTGCGTGTACGGTGACGCAGGTCGAGGGTCAACGAGAATTTTGGAGGACAGATGGAAGATAGAGGAAGGTCGTGGTGAATATTTAGAAGGTATAAGCGAGATTATTATTAATCGAAGTTTATTTTCTATGATGATTGATGACTTACTATTTTTGGCATTATTTATTTATACACTTTCAAATATTTTGATTTTGCATAACTAGTAATTTTAAATTCTTCCCATTAATCGATTATTTCGTTCTTATTTTAAATCAAATTTATGTATTTGTCAAACATTGTGTTAAGCAATAAATAGATTTGACATTCTGATTTATAATATTATTTCTTAGTATCAAATGTATTGTTTACTTTGCGGTTAATTATTTCAGATTAATTTACATATTTTACGTTGCAGGTTTTCATATATACTGATATTTGGATTATTAACTATTCATTATTAGTACCGTCAGTTATTAAGGTTTTTTTTTTTTTTTTTTCGTTTAGTATACGTTTCAGTTGTTCGTCTACATTTACTTCATTGATGTGAATAATCAAGTAGCGACTGTTATATAGTTTATAGCAAATAGTTTGTGATGTTTATGTAAACAGTTCGTTTTACATGGTTATATTCGGCGTAAAGTTTATGGATTGTAACTTATCCAGTATGCTGATACTCATTGTTTGTTGTTTACATAATAGAGGATAGTTCGTATTTTCATGGGAATAATTGTACGACCATTGTTATAAAAGTTTTATTGTTCCATTCTTTTGGTCAAATATTTAACGTGACGTTATCCGTGTAACTCCATGTAACTATGTAACTATTTTCATGTCATCTTACTATCATGATGATTATTTGCTACAATATTCATGTGATTTTGAATGTTTGGTTTTTATACAAATATCCAATTTAAAAATGTTTTAATATTTTTGCGTAAATGCTCCATCCTTATTCAGTTTTTCTTACATATATATATATATATATATATATATATATTATATATGTACTTCCTCAATTATTTATATTACTTACACTGCTAATAGAAATCTATTTGCTATCGTAGACTGTTAAAATATTGGAGAAATGTTCGCAAAAGTGCATATACATCTCCTATTGCCACAACTTTTTTTTTTCTTTCAATAGAAACTAGAAAGGATTTATTGATTCTTTACCAAAAAGCTTACATGTTAGGATGTGAGGTTATGAGGATTTGTTGATGTGTATATGTATGTATACGTATGCATGCATGAATATATATGGATGTATGCATACATATATGTGTATGTGGTATGTTTGCTTTGCTTGCTGTTATTGAAATTAGGAAAAAGTAGAACTTATGGCAAAGCATAGCGAAAGCATACCATATATTTTTTCAGCAATTTCCTTTCCCAAAGGCAAACTTCCATTCTTTTTTTTTTTTTTTTTTTTTTGTTATTTCATCGCTTATTACAATTATTATTGTTCTAGAAAGAATGGGCTAATTGAATGGGAAGTTTCTGATCAAGCAGCTTTTCTAAATTAATTAAGTGATATAATTAATTAATTAGTTCTTCATCCATCAATCAATAATTGCGCGAGAGTTTCGGTAATTAAGATAATAATCAAATGAAAACACGTTGCATATACTTGAAACATTTATCGATACATGAAAATTGTAGCACTATTTTTTATTTTCCGCTTTGAATTACTTCTGAACGGTATTTTTAGTTTCTAATATTCATGGGTCAAACAAAAAATTTTAACTTATGGTTATTGGCAATATGATCGTTAAATTTTGGGCAATTTTGCTATTCATCACAGGTTCATATGAACGCCTTCTTTTTCTGTTTTTTAAATGTCTATATTTCTAGTACAAGCTATAAATGCTCAGCTGCTCTTGTCATATTTATTATCTTACCAACAACAAGTCGGATTTTCCATTTAAATCATTCCCTTTGACTTTTGTTTAGATTTTCTTATACATTTTAAACCGGACTAGCAACCAAATGCTTTTTCGTTTTCGAAAAAAAAAAAAAAGCCTTAAATTGACACTTTAATGTTGTTTTCAAATGGGTTGATGTCGTTCTTTGCATCGTTTATAATTGATGAAATTTTTTGAAACTCTCCACTGTAATTGTTTCAGGCACTGAAATCTGTACATAAACATTAAGCTTAGTTTCGTTTTATGTACAAACTGTTGCGGTACTAATTGGTTGAAATTTTTTTTTGGACGACTTATTCGACAGCAAAAAGAGAATTCGTTCGAAATCGCTAATCTTCCTTCGTACCTTTGCAGTGTGGTGGTAGTTATTTAGCAAGGGAACGTGAAAATGTCGTGGGCTAATACGGGCATGCAAGCCCTGATACCGATTATTAATAGATTACAGGTTTGTTGTTATCAGATTTAAGATTTGTAGCTATTTTTCGAAGCGTTTTAAAATTATTTCATTGAATCAAATACTCCGATCACTTCATTGTATCTAGTATCTCGTTTCAGGATGCGTTTGCCCAATTAGGAACATCACTAAACTTTGACCTCCCACAGATAGCAGTAGTCGGAGGACAAAGCGCGGGCAAATCATCTGTGCTCGAAAATTTCGTTGGAAAGTCAGTTTTTTTTCCATTTTGTTTTGGAACAATGTAAAGAATTTTTCGTAATTTGTTTATATCATTGCGACGATTTTACTAGATTTGTTTCTTTTTTTTAGAGATTTTCTTCCTCGAGGATCAGGCATCGTTACCCGCAGACCATTAATTTTGCAACTGGTACATGATCAGCACGTAGGTAAGTGACAGTTATGACGGTTCAGTATGCCATAGTGTGTAACTCTCGGACTTAGTTAAAAAATGGTGGAAACATTTGGCGCTTTAACTTTTTCGTGATCAAGTAACTATGAATTGCGCGATATATATGGAATCGATTGTGAATGAGTGAAGGATTTATTTATTTTTAGAATATGGAGAATTTTTGCACAAAAGAGGACAAAAATTCACTGATTTTGAAATGATCAGGAAAGAAATTGAAGATGAAACAGATCGTATAACGGGTCAAAATAAGGGCATCTCGCCAATTCCAATCAATTTGAGAATTTTCAGTCCGAATGGTATTTCGTTTAATATATTTCTTAATACTTCATTGAATTTGTTGAACATTTTTGAGTTATTTCGCCCAATATTCTTGTCCTATGTTGTACCTCACATTATCTAATTTCTAGCTTTCCACTCTGTGTGAGGAATAAATTTCATGTCTTCCAGATTTTATGATCTTATTACTATATCAGTAACGAGGCTAAGAAATTCATCAAAATCCGTGATATTCTTGGGGAGCCATATATTTCAAACATATTTTTTTTCGCGAGTGCTCCGAAGTAGTAAGAAGAAATTTTGGCACTTGCTTGCTTGAATAATTTCATGAGTGCATATTAAGAATGTTCTTAGAAATATAACTGTTCTCATACCATTGGAAAACAAAAATTTTGAACTATTCTTATCATAGAAGTCTTCTGCCTTAATGTTTATGTTAAGGTAACTAACTTTTCCTGAACCTGAATCCCCTAAAGATCACCTAAGATACAATGAGTTGTCCTATGCTGGAAAACCGGAAAAAGGTTGGTTGGATTTGTGTGTAGAAGGCACAAGACGAAATGTCCTCTAAAGGCAAGATAGACACAGAAAAACGTCTTACTACTTCTATGAATCAGTTATTCAAGAATTCTTATTTACCTGGATGTGTCTAAAGAAGCAAGATTGTAGAACTTTTTACAAAATGTTGAATCAAAATTTTAGTTATTTCTTTGAGTATTTTTTTGAGTAAATTTTTCTTTTCCAATAATTTTTCCAAAAAACAAAATTTCAGTTTCTAATTTTTCTATTTACCAGTGGGAATTTACTGGTGCTTTGGTAAACGGGCTAGTTGTTAAAATTTATTTTTAGTAGGTGATTGTATTTTTAATAAGCTTGGAAACGAAAAAAGTTGCCTTAACATTTGTATTAAGCAATTAGTTATGTTTCCCATCCGATTCACTTAAACGTATTGAAAAGCGACTTATGCTCACTTTTTGTAACTTCTCATGTCTTACTGATTGCCCATTATTTCAGATTTCTAACTTTTCTTCCTGTTGAAACAATCCACATACAGTACCATTTCTGGTAAATTGTTACCAGCATTAATGAAATGATATTTTTATTGTGCAAGATGCAAGACCGTTTATATATCTTCATATTCAGATGAATTATATTTTCAGTATTGAACTTGACTCTTATCGATTTGCCGGGCTTGACAAAAGTGCCGGTCGGTGATCAACCTCCGGATATAGAGCATCAGATACGAGAAATGCTGTTAACTTATATTTCACGTGAAACGTGTCTCGTTTTGGCAGTTACTCCAGCGAATAGTGATCTTGCTACATCTGATGCACTTAAACTTGCGCGAGAGGTTAGTGCGACAGTGTCACATTTGGACATGAAGAAATCCTAAGCAGTTTTAACTTTTATTTAAATTTCTTTGGAGCAGCAGTAATCTTTTGTTTTTTTTTCAAAACATTGTCATTTATCAAGAAACCATGCTTGCAGGTTGATCCACAAGGACTGCGAACCATCGGTGTGTTAACAAAGTTGGATCTGATGGATGAAGGTACTGATGCTCGTGATATTTTGGAGAATCGTTTATTCCCACTTCGTAGAGGTGAATTATTTATTAAATTATTCTAAGTCTTTCATAAAACAGGTAAACAGTTTCGAAATAAAAAGTGACTGATATGATTGGGATGTTTTCTTTGTACGAACTGTAAATTTTCTTCTTTCATTTGATGTTTTAAATTTCATATTAAACAGAGAAATTACGGATTTAGAACGAAGTAAACACATCAATTATGTGATGTTAATTTTAATTCTAATTCCTTCCAAAAAATTGTTTTCAAATGCAAAGTTTTATTTTATTTTGTTTTGTTCTGCTTTTTTTTTTCAAGAAAAAGTGGAACAAACAGAGCAGGCGATAAGAAATACATATCATATTTAGGTTATATTGGTGTTGTAAATCGAGGTCAGAAAGACATTGTTGGTAAAAAAGATATTAGGGCAGCACTTGATGCCGAGCGAAAATTCTTCATATCACATCCTGCATATCGGTGAATCCTTTGAACTTGTTTATTTTATTTTTTTTTAAAATGATATCGCTAGCTTCTAATGTACAGTTACATCAAAAATTATGAACTGTTCTTTGTCTAATAACAAAATTATCGTAACAGACATCTGGCAGATCGTTTGGGAACACCATATTTACAAAGGACGCTAAATCAGCAACTTACAAACCATATCAAAGATACGTTACCGGCATTAAGAGATTCGCTTCAGAAAAAACTGTACGCATTGGAAAAGGATGTTAATGAATATAAAAATTTCCAGCCAAATGATCCTTCCAGAAAGACGAAAGCTCTTATGCAGTACGTTTCCGCACTTTTTTTTTTTTTTTTTCTGTGGCATCAATAGGGTAGAAAAGTTCTGTATTGTGATTTAGTAATTTATTTAAATGTGTTTTTTTTCGAAAGCATACAATAAATTTTTATATGATTCATACAGATTGCTTACGTAGATTTGGATTCTGTTAATTTCAAATAAAGTTTCTCACATCGCAAAACTTTTAATACAACGTTTTGAAGGATAGGAACAGAAGGGTTAATTTTTTTACCCAAGCTGAATTTCTGCACATGTATATGCATAATATTAATTTTCTTATTTTTTATTTCGTGAAAAGAGCTAAAATCATTATTCTTAGGATGGTACAAACTTTCACAACAGATATCGAGCGATCAATTGAAGGATCATCATCGAAGGCTGTAAGTACAAATGAATTATCAGGAGGTGCACGAATTAATCGAATTTTTCACGAACGATTTCCATTCGAAATTGTCAAAATGGAAATTGATGAAAAGGTTGACTTCATATTCATTTGGGTCTTGCTAATTGAATAAGATTACATAACCTTTAAGCTCATGTTTTTTTATTTACAATAACTATTGCAATCATCGTAGATATATTTAAATTTTTCCTCTGTTTTTGCTTTTTTCTCCTATGGAAAAATGGCGTATAACCATATTTAGAAGTATTTGAGACAAAAAAATTGACTCCTGATTTTTATACGCTTGAATGAATTTAATTTTGTAGGAAATGAGACGAGAAATACAAATTGCAATACGTAACATTCATGGTATTCGTGTTGGTCTATTCACACCTGACATGGCATTTGAAGCTATTGTAAAGAAACAAATCGAACGACTAAAGGAACCATCATTGAAATGTGTTGATTTAGTTGTAAATGAATTGGCCTCTGTTGTGCGACAGTGTGCTCAATGTGTAAGCTTCATTATTTTTATAAGCATATATATCATTAAGTCTTACTAATAATTCCGATGCTACTAGTAATGGTTACTGTGTTACTGCACAATTGAAACTGAAGCAGAATTCGTAATCGTTAAAACCATATTTACAAATTATTTTCTTTTAGTATTAAAAAAAAAAAAGAAGAGATATAATTATGAGATTTTGATAAAGAAAGAGACTAATGATAAGATTACTTTTTTCTTCATTTTGGATAGAAAAAAAATGTAGTCAGACATATGCTATAGGTTGCACGTTATCCAAGATTACGAGACGAAATTGAACGAATTGTAACCACAAATATGCGAGAAAAAGAGCAATCTGCAAAATATCACATATCGATGCTTGTTGATTACGAACTTGCTTATATGAATACTAATCATGAAGATTTCATTGGATTTTCAAAGCAAGTTCCTATTATTACTAATTTTCAGTTTTCTTTTAACCCGTGATAACATGGGATAGTGCATAGTGCTGATTATGCATTAACAGTAGGTCATCATCGTTGAGGAGTCATCGTAATTCACTTTATTATGTTATCAATGATAATCTATTCAGTTTAATTCATTATCGTTAATATCACATCTCGAAATTAAGTTTGCTTTATTCTGATTCGAAAGCAGTATGAGAATCTTGTATTTAGAAATATGGTTTTATGTAAAAAGTCATAAAGTAATAAATAGCTTTTTGATTTTTATAGTGCGGAAGCAAAGGCATCGTCTACTTCACAAAAGAAAAATCTTGGTAATCAGGTGATAAGGAAAGGTTGGTTATCAGTGCACAATATATCTTTCGTGCGTGGTTCAAAAGATTGTTGGTTTGTTCTCACATCTGACAGTTTGTCATGGTATAAGGATGACGAGGTATATTATTTTCATTCCTTTCTTTTCTCATTGATTTTAGGCTAAGGATAAACATTGTCCTGTATGATAGGATCTGTTTTCAGCTTTTTAAAATATTCTTTTACAACAGATCTAGCTATATTTATGATAGAATCATATAGCTTATGAATTATAGCAATTATGGTTGCTGTGGTGAAATTTTTAAGTGTTCTTTTTTAAGTGTAATCATTCAGTATAGTTTTTTTTTTTTTTTTGTAGTCTTTTGCTTGATTGTCTGTAGCCAGAAATGCTGCAATATTTCCGGAAATACCTATTGAAAATGTTTCACTACATAAAGTGTTATTGCATTTACTGATTAGGTAGTATTTTGAACATAATGAATTTTAAGTTGCCTAGCAGGATTAATGTTTTCACTTCCCTAAAATGTTTTGAAACATTCCCTTGCATATCTATCTTACCATTCTCAGATAAGGATCTCATCCAGTTGGTTTTAATAGCACATTTTTCTGAAACTTAAAAACGTTTATTTATAGGAAAAGGAAAAAAAGTATATGCTACCGTTGGATGGAATAAAATTGCGAGATCTCGAAGCTGGTTTTATGTCGAAGCAGCACAAATTCGCTCTGTTCTACCCCGACGGAAAGTAAGCTTCTTTTTCTCTCTTTTCTGGCAGCTGAAATATTTTTGTAGTCTCTAACTATAAAGCTGAAAGAAGAAAAAGTGCTAAAGAACTAACAAAGTTATTAACTTGAAGTAGGCATTATATTATGCTTGCTTGTTATGCATTTTTACCATTGCTATGCTTTCATGGAAGTTATTTGTAGTTGTTTGCGTGTTGCATTAGGCAAACCTTATGATAATTATAATTTTTCTTTTCAATATTTTCAATAGATAATTAAGTAAATTTCTTTATTTTCTTCTTCGCTCTCTTTTTCTGCTATGATTTCTTTGATTTCAGCACGTAAGCAATTTAATTATTTTACTGGCAAATTGATATGGCCTGACATAAGGACGCTTGTTGTATTTATGCGGTCAAATATTTTATCTCAGATTTGTAATTCAAGGTTTGAGGTACTGGGCTGGTGCTGTTATTTCAGAGGAGAAGATTATATCTGAATTTCTAGGATAATAATGGTATTACTGGTTTACTTTATTTGCAAAAGTTTCATCTCAGCAGATGAATCATTTTGTAGATAAATAGAAGTAAATCAGGAAACTCCCAAAGAAAACATCTCCAGCCCACTTATGTGATTAATGTTTACATGTTTTTTTAAACTTTCACTAACAATAAGATATTTTTATTCCTTTTGCAGAAGGTAACTATAGCGACATGATATTTCCGTAACTTTTCTTCCTGAAATTGAAACGTTGTAAATTGTTTTTTATCTAAAAGTGAATGTGAATCGTGTAGTGAAAGTAGGAAATATGTGTTTATGTTTAATCGTCTAATAACAATTTTTGCACAAAATTAACAACCTTTAACCTTTGGATGCTTTTGTTTTTTTATTTTGGCATGCTGTTTATGGGTATAGTGAATCTACTATATAAGATATTGGCTTTTGAAAGGATATGATGTGTATTCACAGTTGATTCAACTCTTTGTGAGCTGTAAAAGTCTGGATATGTACAAGGATGAGAAATGAGGTCCGAATAGTTCTTATTATTAATTTGGTGTTACGATTTCAGTAATACCAACAACTATAGTAATCAGGAGCGAAGATCGGAAGATTGTAACAGTAGGAGACGAAAAAAAACAATAATAATATCATAAAGTATTGGTAATGCTTGTTTGATAAATGTTTGAAATAAAAAAATGGCCTTAGAATTCTTGTCTGTGATTGATATTGTGTGGATAATTAGATAATACAGGATATACCACCAGTGTTTCTAGGTAATAATATTAACATTTTAGACGAAAAAAGTTTGTTTTCCAGTATTTAGGCACTCTGACTTCATTCTTTTGTCTTTTGATATTTCTAAAGTTTGATCGATTATTCTATATCGGCAAGATTGACCTTGCAAATTATATGAATCCTACTAATCGCATGATTCATAAGCATGCACATAACTCATATTTTCGCGACGGGATGATACAAAATGTGATGTATTTATCAGGAATATCTACAAGGATTATAAACAACTGGAATTGAGTGCTAGCAATCTGGATGAAGTAGATGCCTGGAAAGCATCATTTCTTCGTGCTGGTGTTTACCCAGAAAAGGAGAAACCAGTCGAAGATGGTGAGGTAAGCTTTTCACTTTTCAAATTTTTATTTGCGTTTTTACCTGCTCTGATGGATGGTATGTGTTATAAATGTAAAATTCTTTTATATATATTCTTTGAAGTTATTTTTACTTTCTAAATAAGGAGTGTTTTTTCTTCTTGACAGACAGTTACGGAAATTGAAGAAACATCAGTGGATCCACAGCTCGAACGTCAAGTGGAAACAATTCGTAATTTGGTCGACTCTTACATGCGGATTGTTACAAAAACAATACGAGATCTTGTACCGAAAGCAATTATGTTTCTCATTGTTAATAAAGTAAGATCATCTAATAACCAAAATTCCTTTACATTTTCCTTTACAAAAAAAAAAAAACGATTTATTCCTTTACAAAAAAAAAAAAAAAAACGATTTACGAAGCATATAGCAAAGTAGAAGTCAGTGATAGTTTAAGGAAAATCGGGAAGCAATATTTGATATAGTGGGAAAGCTTTTCTTCACTGAAACAAATTATATAGTTGACATCAATTATTCCGGACTATGTATATGTTTAAAGAAATGCATATATTGAAAAAAAAAACCTTTCCGATTGTTCATTTTTTAGTTCTGAGTTATTTTACAGGTTAGTGAATTTCTGCGCGATGGTGATCTTTTGGCTAATCTTTATCAGCTTGGTGATACAGTCAGTTTTCCAGTTTCATTCTTTCTCCTAATTTTCTTTATCTGAAATAGCAAAGCTTAGCGGAATGCTCCGTTCTTCTTTTGTAATTGATTAAAATAAGATTTATTTTAGCGTGCTATCTTTCTCTCTTTTCTGTTATTTCTTGATAATCAATGGAATTGTTTTACAGGATTCATTGATGGAAGAAAGCCAGCTTGAAGCGCAAAAACGAGAAGAAATGTTTCGAATGTATCATGCTTGTAAGGAAGCGTTAAAAATTATTGGCGAAGTAAATATGTCTACGATGTCAACTGATGCACCTCCTGCAGTAGCAAGCGATTGGTTGAGGTAGCTGTTTTTGGGACTTACACAAAATTTTATAATAACAACTCTGACTGTGGTTGACTTGAGACGGGTTCAGTGAAAAACTTTCTTTATCTTTGTTAATTATCTAACAAATTCCATTTCTTTACTCAGGAATAGAGGTCACTTTTAAGATGCTGAAAAAAAAAAAAAAAATTCCAACTTTAGATCTAATGGACCATCTCCGATACCGCGACCTGGAATGGGTGGTGGATTAACTGCGCAGCGTCCAGCTCCAATGCCACCACGGCCAACGGGAAATGTGCAGGGTGCATCTTCGCTTGCGAGTCGACCACTACCGGGACCACCGGGTGGCCTTCCTGCTCCGCTGCTACCCATGTAAGTGTATTAACCATAAAGCATTATGAACAACTGTAAAGCATTAGTCTCCCCAATCCCTTCCCGTCCAACTTTATTTTATATTGAGAGAATTATGATTACAAATTTCCCTTAGCATTACGTGTGGTGCATATCATATGATTAAATGCGAAATTAATACACATTTCAATCATCCAAGGTATTCAGAAGAATTCTTTCCTTAATGATAGTTTGCAGTTTGTTTTTCGTAATAATTATAATTAATAATTATTGTTCATAGGAAGTTTGAGAAACTAATACCCTGTGATTGTTTCATTTGTTTAACACTTATTATTTTTCAAAGTTATGAATTTATGAAATCATTTAGGCGTCCAAAATAATTCATCAAAGGGTAACTGATTAGTATTTTTTTAGACCTGTTATTATAATAAAGAATTGATAATGCATGTTATGTTTTATTTTTATTCATTTATTAATTCGACATTATATGTTATTGTTAGTTAGTTATTTAGAGTACAGTGTAATAGTTGTGGTTGTTGTGATAGAACACGCTGCATGAATCTTAGAAAATTGCTTATTTAATTGTTCTTCCTGTATAATCTAGTTTAGTTATCTATGAGCTCCGCCATTTTAAATGATTTCAATTAAAGCGATAGCAAGTTAATAGTATGAAGGCAAGTTAAAATTAACAAGTAATGAAGCTGTTATCGAAGCATATGAAATCTCCAGTCTTTAAACTACTATTTTACAAATATAATATTTATAGATATTTATAGTATTTATAGGACTAAATTTAACCACTAATTTCGTGTTATTAAAAATTTTAGCGAATAAGCATCTCTCAATTAATGTATGTTACATTTTGCTTATATCTTAATGCATGAGATGTTGTGTGATGTGCAGTCGTATAGAGTAGTAATAATTGCTAATTTGTAGCGTTCAGTTTCAATTAGAAAATTGCAAACTAGATTATTTGTTTCTTTTCAAAAAATTTTCGAAGCATTTTAATAAGCGTTTATTATTGTTTCAGTCGAGTGCATAACAATTCAGCGGTTCAAAATGGTGTACCACCAAGGATACCAGATAGACCACAGATACCTTCACGTCCTTACTGAATTCCAGCTAGATGCTACGATCTTTCTCCTCTCTTCTCATGTAAATATTTTTCTTTGTTAGAAGTGAGCTTTACTAAAGTCTTAATTCAAATAGTGATACTTGAAAGTTATCGTTACTTTAATTTTTGCTGTAGAAAATTAGGGTCATTCTATGCGGTAGCAGTTTTTGTGCCAATCGTTTCAATGAACCTTTTATAAAAATATTATGACTTGAATAAGCTTACTACAACATGCTTAGTATTTTGTTTATATGCATCCTTATATGGATGTACTGGTTCTTAGTATTTACTCTTTACTTTTTCTAATGAATTTCCAATCATGCGCAGTCATGAAAGCATTTCTTACATTTGCTATATGGGTCTGCATTCTGTATCTAAAAGATATTGTCAACCCAAAGCGAAATATATGACTTAAAACGCAATAACTTAATTTGGTCTTCCATTCGTATAGAAAAAATATCAAAACGATTTAGGATAAATTTTGCAGTCTGAAATCAGAGAATAAAGCTGGCTTCTGTAGTTTTTTTTTTTAGTTTCCCGAGATTCGAGATTAAGTTTAATCCTGTATTGTAATGCTAATTTGCTAAGCAGAGTAGGAATAGAAGTTAAACCTTGATTTTTTAGTTATGGTCATAATGTTAGTTTTCATTATATATATAAGACATTCCGTGAATTGTGAGAACTCCCAAATCTCATATGCGTTTTTCAGTCATCTAAAAATTTTGCTTTACTTTCGTTCTTTCAGAGTCTTATCTCTAATTAAACTGGATAGTCTTAGAAAGTATTGTCTGTGGCAAATCTTGTTGTAAATTGTAGTGGTGAAACTTATCTCTATGTGACATTCATTTTACTATAATTTATTTATTTTTTTACTTTCTTTTTACGAATAATTCTTTTTTTTTCTTGAAATTTCTAGAAAGGAAAGAGAGGGGACACTCATTCGCTGAATTACCTCTTCACTTCAGTCTTTGATTTAAGCTTTTAAATTTAACACTAAAATTCGCTTCATCAGAGCATCTCACTATATTTGAACAAAAAATGGCTTTTAATGAAGATTTGAAATTGAATCTTAAACTTATTATTCCCATTAATCTTCCAGTGTAATCGCGTTATGTTTTCTATAGCCAAGATAGAAGGGAAAATTCTGGAATTACCAAATATCTACCAGAAAATTTCTTCTGAATACATTTATGCTATGGAATTCTTTCCAGAAATGTTTCTTAAGGTTTTTCATCCAGCTATGATAGTCTCTATGTTGATAATTTGTGTAGCAAGTTGATGTTTATGAATAAAAATATGTCCTTGTGATTTAGCCTCTCTACACATCTGAATTCTGTAGTCTCAGCGTACGCATCGGGAATTTTCTTATTTTTCTATAAAGCCATCACAAATAATAAAAATTCAATTCAACTACTGAAAAAGGAGAAAAGCAGAGAAATTCATTTATACCAGATAGATATTATCTACAGCCAGTAGTAAATTGAGTACATTTCAGAAAATGAAATAAGTTGAAAATATCTTATAAAAATAATTAACATAGATTATTTGTTGGATTAGCACATGTAGGATTTCCACCAAAAACAAGAAAAAAAAAAAGGAAAAAAACGCTTTAACCTTCGATTTGGATATTGTTAAATACAGCAAATGACGATATTCAGATTTGTTTCCAAGTAAACAATAGATCTGCAGGAAGTTGCTCTTCCAATTTCCTAAGTGTTCAATACTCCATTTGCAATTAAATTAGTGCATACAGTGGTGAGACATTATTAATCCGTTTCCTCTTCAAAATATTCATCTGGCTCTGATTCTTTGTCACTGTCGTTCTGATGACACTGCGCTGCTGGCACTTGTAAATGGTAGTTTTTCGAAAATGATGGTTTTGCCACATTTGCACGATTTCTACCGTACTGATTCTTCACTTTCAATATTTTATGAACATAGCGTAACTGTCGTTCTCTGCAAAATTGGAATCCAAGTTTTTATAGTTGATAAGGTCGACCATACAGTGCTAAATTTTTTTCTGCCGTAATTGCTATTAGCTTTTCTGTAATACGCGTTAAACCAATTCCACATTTATATATATATATGCTTTTTTGACATACAGGCATACAATTTTTTATTTCCAGAGTAGCAAATAAACCATTCTGTTAAGAGGAAAGAAATATACCAGTAGATATACCTGTAAGTCTCATCATCTGGATCAAATCTGAATGGAACATAAGAATCCCTTTGCAAAACTTTCGGTGTTGAATTGTCCGGTGATTCAGGAATGCGAATTAACTTTTTCCTGTGAATGTTTCTTCGAACAGATTTCGGTGTTGGCGTACGCAAGACAGATAATAATGAATCATCAGAGTCAAAAGTTGTTACTGACGGCATCATCTGAAATATTTACTAGTTTTGCCTCCCACGAGCCACTGAGTTATGTCGGAGACATGGAAGCACAGCGACTCAAATCGAAACTGGAATCTATTGCAACATAAGAACTAACTGCCAATTTTCTTCCATTTGGTCCAATATCCATCGTTTCTTCGAAGAAGTCTGAGCCATCACCCGCTTTCAGATACTGTCGAGTAAATCGATCCGCTTGAATCTGATAAGCAAGCGTGCCAACCTATTACGCATTTTCACATTTTAATAGAAAGTGGAAGCAAGGATACTGAAACTAATACAAAAAAAATGCGCTGACTAAAACATTATGTCAAAATACTTCCTCACACTTACTGCCTAAATGTGCTACCAAATTTGGATCTTATCTATAATTACAATGAGAATATACAATTTACTTTGGTTTTTCTAAGCGCATCCACCACATCAGCCGATACATCCGTTGTTTTACTCTCTTGTGGAATAATATTCAGTTTCAGAACCTCAATTGCTTGCTTACGACATTCTTCTGCCGTACGTGTTCGTATTGATGCAGCGACATTTTCCCAATCTTTCTCGCTCTGTGGACACATAGCACGAACTGCTAACTAAAAATGGTTTATATTTGCTACATCTTAGAAGATATTAAGATTACTGACAGTGAATTAAATAAAATAGTCTCAAAATGTTCGGAATCAATCTTACTTTACAAGGTTCCATTTCTTTAATCAAGCCTAATTTCTTTATCAATTTGTTTTTCGTCACTGTGCACAAAAAAATGATTTTTTGATATTCGTGGACTAATCAAACAAAAAATGAAGTTTAATGCTTCAGAGCAAGTCATTTTTTACCGGTTGCAGAATAATTTCACTACAAGTAAATTTTTACTTTCAGTCTGGTATTATCATTTCCCGTCCATTTTTTCGCTTGCACATTTTTCGCATTTTTAGTAATATTATCATTAGCAATTCTCCCATTCCTTGCATTTTCCACAACACCATTCTCCGATTCCACATCGCTAAATGATACAATCGGTACCGCTTCTTTAACGCTGTTATGTCCTTCATCGTCTTTTCTTTCTATTATAGAGTTCATTAAATAATGTATACTGCTAGCAACATTCTATTTTCTTCTTTCAAAAAAATGAGGAAATAAAAAATGAACCCGCTCTAGTTTTTACACAAGTGCCCTTCTTAGACTGGTTCTTCTGCTTCGAACGAGTTTTCCTACAGGTTTTGATTTGACGTTTCCGTATTTTATGTCTTTTTGCTGTCTTTTCTTTCATGCCTTCTTCTGGTGAAGATATAATCATACGTGAACTACGCTGAAAATGAAAAAATTCTAGTGAAGAAAGTAAATTCGATTGAGAACAAGTAATTCTAAAAATTCCAGCATATTTATTTGAAGAAATTTGAACTTCCAGTCCTTACAAATCAAAATTTCTTACATATCGATGTTTTCCACAGAAAGGCGTTACAGGTGCAGATGGAGATGGTTTTCGATCATCATCACTGGAGGAGAAAGAGCTTTTACTATCACTGTAGGACACAAGAGGGACTCTTTTGTTTTCTAAATTGCATGGACTAGATTTTCGGTTTTCTTTTCCCATTGTTTTTAGTAAAGTCACTGCACGGAGAGTTGATAAAGAGCTCTGAAATTTATAAACGTTTCCAAAAATCAATCATAGATAGCTCATTTCATTTATTATTAATTATGGACTTACTAGCAAAAGTGATTTTCTTATTCAACTACCACACGAAAAGAATTTAAAGCAAATAAAAAAGTTTACATCGGAAGCACTTGTCGAGTAAATAGAATCTGTTGTAATGCCAATAGTTTTTATTGGAGAACCATGGACATTGTATACAATTCGTTGTCCTGTCCACGTTGCCAAACGTGGTTTAACAACACGGCCACTTCTAGTCGTTTTTAACACAGAAAGGTTTGCAGAATCTTAATAGGAAAATATTAGTATTTATCTCAAAATATGAAACAGTAAGAACACAGAAGAAAAAAAGCGGACGATAGTGAAACAAAAGAAAATTATCTCATGTTTTCCTAATAAAATTATCATTTACCTTCGCTTTTTCCCTCGATCTTCATTCGCTTTGCTGGAACAAGATCTTTGCTTTGTCGATATTTATTATCTCTCCTCTTTCTTGGTTTTACGCTATCTAAATAGCAAGAATTAAGAAATGTATATGATATTATAATTCGATAGAATAAGGATTCGAAATTTACACGAGTTTTCAATTTGATATCGGACAGATTTCCTCGAAGTGGAATGCTTTGCAGTGGAACATTTCAGGTCCTTTCTGCAGTTTTGAATGCTCTCACTAGAAGATGAGCCATCACAATCGCTACTATCAGAATCACTATCATCAGATAAATGGCTCTTGATACTCTGCTGAAAACCACAACGATTTTCCACTTCATCATCGTCATGAATTTCCGAAATAGTCAGAGACTGTTGCGGTGGTAGTTGCGGTTCACTGAAAGTTGACCCTCAATTTTAAAACATTTGAAAAAGCAAAGAAAAAGATCTATGATGACAAAAAAAAAAATTGGAACCTATGAAAACAGTTCAGCAATCGTCATATATATTACTTAGCGATTGAAAAACATGAATATTAAAAAATGAATAAAAAAAAGCGACTGAAAAATATGATTAAAAGTATGAATATTCATACTTTTGCTATTGAAAATTATAGTGAAAAAAATAGCAAGGAAACTTACATGTATGTGTTGAAAAACAATGATAGGATACGATGCCAATCTTTTGGAAAGCCATTCAGGAATTGTGTCACAAATTCTCTCGGAAATCCTAACGAAAAAGAAATAAATTCATACCAGAAAATTCTCAGCTAAAAGCACAACTGATGCAAAACTACTAACTTTGACTTTTCTCTTATATATTATATTAAAAATATCATATAGAAGAAAGCAACATATAAACCACGACATTTCAATCAATTCATGGAATTGCAGAATATGAAAAAAATATTAAAGTGTTGGTACAGGGTTTAAATGAAAATATAAGTCCTAGTTATACTTATTTCATATTAAATGCAAAGATCAGAAGAAACAAGAACTACCTTGTTGCGCTGCTAATATTGTATTAATCGGCCCCATAAGTTCGTATGCACATGTTTCGGTTTGCAATAAACGAGTACCTTCTACCGCAACAATACATGATGTTTTCCAGTCCAAATTTTTGTCCCTAAACATGAATTTAAAGATATATTATAACTGATTTCCATACAAATGATTCAAATTTTTATAAGCTTAGAATGTTAAAAAAGTGACAGCAGACAATTAAGACACTTACGGACGAAAACCAACTACGACAAAAGCAAAATTTGGGAAAAGCTTCGAATTTCCCAAGTCATTTGCAGAAAAACGTATTGTCCAATTATATAAAGCAACTGGTTCTGAAAATATAGGATAATTTTTTATTAATCAGTTCTGTATACCAGAAGAATTTCATTTCCACCATAATGATAAACAGAAACCGCATGGGAACTAACAAATATTTAAAGCTCGGAATCCGAAAATTAAATTCCCATAATTTTGACACGAAACATTTAGTGGGGAACAAAAATGTCAAGAAAGTAGTAAATCAATAAAAGAAAACCTACATATACCAATACCAAAAAAAAAAGAAAAGAAAAAGGAAAAAAAAACTCACTTGAACGACGTCTCTGAAGCGGCAACAGAGGCATTTTAAAAATATCGTCTTGTGACTTGTCTTTATCAACAGACAACTTAATCCCAGCAACACGCATATCACCACCAGCTGACATAAAATGGTTATCACATTTTGATATCATGTTTTGCTCACTGGAATCATGACTTGAAGATGCAACAGATGTGCCAAGATTTATCGAAGACCCATTGGTTGAAATCGTGCAGTTGTCACGCAATTTAGATAAAGAAAGCTTGTCTCTGCTTGATTCTTCATCCTCTTCCACAATTTTGTCATTGATAAATAAAGGCTTCGCGCGTTTTGCGTTACAGTTCGAAAGTGAAGACACTACAATATTAAAAAAAAAAAAAAAAAAAAAAAAAAACTTGAATAATTAGATGAGAAAATAATACCCAGTTAAGCGTAAGGTTGATTACAAATTGGATAACCTTTCAAAAATCATTTCTGAGAATATAAAATTTGACATATCTTAACATATTGTAACGTAAATTGCTTCAATTACCATTTCTAACCGCTGATATACGATGTCCATCGGTACGTGAACATTTAGATATATCTAGGAATAAGCCACTGAGAAGCATAGAATGTAATCCTTGAGATGCATTAAGTTTATTAGGCTTGACCACATTAGTGTAGTAATCGCATAAAAGTTCTCGCCATTCATATGGAAAGCCATCTTTGAATCTTTCGATTAGTGTCTTTGGATATCCTGAAAAAGAAATTATTTAAAAAAAGAAAGGTCCATGACAGTCAAAATTGAGATCGTGAAATTTGCTAAATAAGTTTTAGAAAATACAAAATACCATCCAATTCCTAAGTGACAACATTAGTAATGAATCCTATACTACAAAAAGAATGTTTTTACAAGATAATTCGTTTATCATTAACTGATGAATAATATATCTTAGGAGTATTAGAAGAAAGACGAAGGTTCAGGAATGGGAAAATGAGATCTTTGAAATCGGTTAACAGACTAATCCAGACAAAAATTGTGGTTTGTATCCCTTAGATGACACTGCATTTATTACTGCATTCAACAATTTGATACTCAAAATGGCGATAGATAAAAAAAAAAAAAAAAAAACTAAGATCTGACAAATGAGAATCTCTTTTGCTAATTTCTTTATTATAATACATAATAAGGTTGCAAATTTCCCAGCTTTCTAAATATATCTTTCTTAAAAAATTTGAATAAACTATATACTTCTTCTTCTTCAAGAAACTGATACTAGATCACTGAATTATGTCACTCCTTGAAAAAGCTGTAAGTATTTCAAAAAAATATTTTAAGAATATCTTAAATAATTTATAACAAATCATACCAAGTGCATATGCTGAATCCTGATCAAATACTCCATGTAAAACATATTTGGAGCCACTAACGGTTAGTAAAGTCATTGAATTATGTCTCTCCTTGATCGCTGTACTACGCCAATTTTCTAGTTCGCGTTCTTCGATGTCTTTCTTTCGATAACCTTCCACGCATACAGCAAATTCATCCTTATCGTTACGGATAAACTGAAAGTTTAATATTTGTTTACCACGAACTGAAGTACTGCATTAATTATCAAATATTCAACCTGATATTAAGTAATGAGACTATAGAAATACAAGCTACTGGAGTTCTTTACTATAAAATAGTAAGCAGCTGCATCTTATTCAAATTGAGAAAATGTCCCAAATAAAATTTCAAATCTTAAAAGGAGATCAAAAAATTTCCTCCAATCCTCAAAAAACATTCAATATAATGCCACAACATAATATTAGTTAAGTTACTGTCATTCATGGACTCCTTAGTGAACTCGATAATCGACTGAAACTTTTTAGCATTTTATCATAACTATTAAAAAAATCAATAAGAAGCGCTTTTATCATTCGTTTACAAAATACCTAAAACAAGACTTTAATTCCAAAAATAGCTCTAAAAATCTAAAAAATTCGTCACTCTCAAACCTAAAAATTCTATAACCATTAAAATCCTTCAACCTTGAAAATCCATAGTTTAAGATCAATTACTGCCTGTTGGCCTTTCTGTTGTGAGTACATTCCTATTTTTCGTTCTTGTTTCAACCAATCATTTGAGGAAAAAAAGCTGGAAAAAGCAGCACCGGATAAGGTCAGAAATAACATTAACCATATATTTTAGTCACTGGGCAAATAAATGATCATTCACTCTCACATATCACATGAAACACATATGCATCATTTGACGAGTTCGAGTAATAATAAAAATGTGCTGCATATGTAAATTACTACATAAGGTTAGAAGCCTACATCGCTCATGTAACTACTCGTTATCCAGGATATGTTTAGCTGTATCCAATATATACAGTAATTTTTTCAATCAATAAGGTTTTCCTTGTCTACAAGGAAACGATGTCAACAGATAAGTATTTACAGACTTGTAATAATATTTTATATTGACTGTGGTAAAATTCCTATACATCATATAAGTATTCCGTGAAACTATTTCTCGATGAAAATATACGATTTCTTTTTCTTTTTGCAGAAACTATTTTCATTCACTCAATGCAAAATCTGTCAATCATAAATAAACTAGCATTGTATACTTGATAACTCTCAATAATCACACGTCTCACGTGAGTTTAAGCGTCTCCCACCCGCCACGTAACAAAATGTAAAATTTGGCGCGCGATAACCGTTGTATTACATTGATCCACGCCAGAATGGATTATTTGTGTGGTCGTAATGAAAAACCTTTATCCCAACGAATAGGAATATTTTCCGCAAAAATTTATTTGCGATCCGCAAGGGTTACTATTTATTGCATATAGTTAATATCTTTTAATTTATAGTCTTCTACAGAATGAATTTGTTGAAGTGGATTTTTTTTTTTTGATTTTTAAATTATTTGCTAATACACACATGCATACACAGTCACACACTGTATTGCCATATTTGAATAACAAAATATATTTTAAAAATATAAATGCTTTTTGAAACATTAAAGTTATCGATTTTTTTTTTTGAAATTAAATTTGTCGCTTCTAAAGATATTGTATTAATGTCATCTGAATAATGCAATAATTATTAAATTGCGTCATCATTACGTCATATCTGTCCGATAAAGTTTTCTTTTGCTTTTTTTCTTTAATAATTTGAAATAATCGTTTGAAGTATGGTTAATTCAAGAAGAAGATGACAATAATGATAATAATTATTATTGCTATTATTGTTATCACTACTGTAATTATATTATTACTATTATTATTATCAAATTTTCAGTAAATATTCTTATTGACATTAATAATTACTGTTGACACTAATATTGCTAACTTCATCATTTTTCATTTCATTTTGAATCATTCAAACTCGCCTAGGATAGATGATAGCATATATGATCATTCTTGTCAGTGTTATCAATGTTATCATTATCCTGTACTGTATACATCATAATCACTATCACATATACATTGCTGCCATTATCACTACTGTGAATATATTATCACTACTATGAATTTCAATGTAATCTTCATTAAATTATATTTGTATTATGTTATCAGTCATCTTCTGGTCAATGAAATAACTGTTTATCATTCATTTTTAGTTCAAATTCCATCTTTTTTCTTTTATCACTTCTTTATAATATCTTACGGAAAATTTTTTTCTTTTATTCGATTTTCTAAAATAATAGAATATTATTCTAAAATAAGAAATAGTTCTAATTTTATTAATCAATCAGCACTGATTTCAACTAGAAACTCAACAATAAATGAAAACGAATGAATTAAGAAAGGATTTTATTATTTCCATTAAAATTTGATTTTTTTTTTTAATATATACATTTTTATTTTTTATTAGTAAAAGCAAAACATTATCAATGATTGGACCATTTTTTTTTTTCTTTTTTTTTTTTTTAGTAAAAAATTAAATCAATGAATGCTTTTAGAGAAAATAATTGCATAAAAATAAATAATTATAAAACTGATATTACATTCTTCCATAAAGTTCGATGGCATAATTGTGTAATATAATTTATTACCAATAGAAAACAAATTTCAGTGATTTATTGAAAATACCAGCTTATGTAAATTATCACTTTTCATATGAATGATACGAAATATTCCAGAATTATTCTAAAATAATCTTTTATCATTCATCAAATTATATAAACAGAAAGTTGAAGAAATTATTTGCAAAAAAAAAAAACGGTGAAAAAGTTTTTTTTTTTCTGATTAAAATATAATACTAAAAAATTTTTATTATCAATCAATTTATTCCTCTTCTTTCTTCTCTTTTTTTTGTTCATTTTTACAACAGTTCTTTTTTTTTTTTTTTTTTTTTTTTTTAATTTAAAACACTAAATTAAATTAGAATTTTAGGAAAAAAAAAAAAAAAGTTTAAAATTAGGAATAATATTTGTACATTAATTTATTTTAAATTTCATCGAAATGATTGCATTGATGTTATTTTAGTACGAAATATTTGAGAATGTGTACGCATATGAGTGTGAAGATTTGATGCTCGATTGAATGCTTTCTCACATATCGAACAAATATAAGGTTTTACCTGAAATTGAAAATTTTTAAAATTTTATGAAAAGCTTATAAAAATTTCTTAAGTTTATAAAATTATTAAAATATGCAATTGTTATTTGTTATGATAATGCATATACAATAAGCGTATATAATACACTGAGATTTTTACATTTATGCAATTAAATCACAAAATATAATCGTTGCAATTTTTTTTTTTTTTTTTTGCTTAATTTAATCATTTGTTCTTTTTTTTTTGTCATTCTTTTAAGTAATACAGTAAATATGAAAGGAAATAAATAACTCTAATAGTTTACCGTTGTATGGGTAAGACGATGACGGGTTAAATTGCCCGGCTGTCGAAATGCCCGACCACAATGATCACAATTGAATGGTTTCTCACCAGTATGAATCCTCTGTTAAACAAAAATAAACAAATATTAAATAAATTTTTTGCAGAAAAAAAAAAGCTTTTTTTGTTTTTTTTTTTGCAAGTAAAATTAATGATTGAGAAATATCAAAGATAATTGCAATGTTATGATAATATATGCATTATTTATTTGAATAATTCAATTAGCAAATTATTTAAAAAAACATTTTTTAAAATTTAACGAAATTTCTTACACCATGAATGAAATTTCGTCTAAACCCTATTGTAATATTGGTAGCAAAATTGGCAAAAAAAAAAAAACTAAACTAAATCTTGGAAAAATTAATTTCTATATTTAATAACAAATAAATATGAGAGATTTAAATTTAAACTATCATTTTCTAATGCAATCAAAAAATTTAACAATTTCATCAAAGGAAGTTTGAAATGAATGAAACAAATTATATATATATATATATATATATATATAATATATATGAAGCAATGAAATCAATAAAATTTTTATTTGACTGATTTTCTTTTTTTTTTTCTTTTTTTTTTTGGTTAAATTTTATTTTCTCACATCTTAAACTATACTGAAGAAGATGTGAAATATTAGAGATTACTGCTAAAGGTAAAGGGACAAATTAGGGACATTAACTCTATAAGATTTAAAAGTAAAAAAGGATGATGAATGGATTATATTGCTTTAGCATAAACCTATTTTTGCATAATTTATAAAATTATCGAAATTTTTGCTTAGCCATGCAACGAAAAGTATTATTGTTTGGTGATGAACAGGATGAGAAAGCATATTTCAAACTGATCCTTATTGTTACGAGAAATTTCCTTTAGCATTTCATCGTTTTTATTTTCTTCTCTTTCTCAATCATTTATTATTTATCAAACTTCATTAACATTTTAAATCTTTTCCTCTTGCATATATCATAGGATGAAAGATATCGTATCCATTTCATCTTCAATACTTTCTAGAAAAGAAAAAGAAAAAAAAAAATTTTTTTTTATGTCACCTTATGTGTCACCAATGTATTACTTCGGCTAAATGTTTTATCACAAATATCACATCGATATTTTTTAACAGTTGATTGATTTTGATTAGCCATTATTCGAAAACGTTGTTGCTGATGACATATACTTGCTAAAATTTTTATTTATTACATTTTATCATTTTCATTTGAAAATTTTTAATAAATTCACAAAATTTTTCTTTCTTTTTTATTGCTTCTAAAACAAGAAAAGAAAAATTCTTTTTTTCTCATTTTAAATCAAAATTTACATAAGTAAATTGTGTATTATCGAAAAAAAAAAAAAAGAAAAAATGACCATTATTCAATTATTTTCCAATTTATAATAATTTACTTCTATTTTAATTTCACATATGTTATAATTCTAAAACTTTATATTCTTTATATTTTACAAAAAAGTTAAAAGAATAAAGCGAATACTTAAAAATAAAAATTTCTTTTGTTCATTAAATGCAATTTTATTATCAAATTTATAAAAAAAAAAAGACAAAAATACTTTGATTTGATGAAATTTGCTGGTTGATTGCTACTGATGAAGTAAATGATGATAATGGTGATGATGCTGATGTTGATGATGATGGTGATGATGATGATGATAATTGCTGTACTGCAGCTTGTTGCATTTGCATAAGTTGATAACGAGTAATCATTAATTGTGATAAGCATGATATACTGTATGGTGATAAAGTCTGCAATTACAAAATTTTAAAAGAATATCCTAGAAAAATTAAAATTATACATGATATTTTGTGTAAGGAATGTTTTCCTTGCAATGTCATTTTGTAATAACAAAACCGGAACAGATTAAAATATATTCAAGCACTGTATTCTAGGCATTATTAAAAAGTCATCATGAAATTATATTAGGTATTAATTAGCCAGTTAGAAATTCAATTAATAAATGAATCATAATTTATTTGGTTTATCTGTTTGAAAATTGTCCTATAATTACAAATTGATCATAAGTTCGTGATAATTTTGCTTAAAGATAAATTTTAAACTCTAATAAAAAATAATTTATTCAATATAATTAAATAATCAATTGTTAAAGTGTGCATGTAATAAAAAATAATTTAACAAAAATAACAAAAAAAAAAAAATCTTTAAATCAAATAATGAAGAAACAAATTTTTTAATAATTTAATTAATCAGGTTACAAATTGATAAAAACAGATGTAGCTAAATGCATGAATTTTTAAACTGAAGCAAATAATTTAAAATAAATAAAAATGAAAAATTAAAAAGTATTAGTGCTATTTATGTCGAATTCCATTGTTTTTTATTATTTGATTAGATATTTTTTTTTTTTTGGACTATTCATAATACTGTCATTTATTTGAAAAACTACCTGTAACTGTGTTGGTGCTGGCATTCTATACAAAAAACATTGCGATGATTCATTTTGTGAGAAATTTTGTAATTGATTTCGAATTATTGGCATCGGTAGCGCTCTTTTCCAAGGTATTCCACTTACCTTTGACATCAAATTTTGCTGTCGCTCTCGCTCTTCTGAGCATTCTGGCATATCTCGGTCCAATTTCCTATAATTCACAAATTCACATTACTTTGTTAAATTAGAATTTATTTTGCTATATTAAATTCAAATATTTGTTACTCTACTAAATTCATAATTAATAATGAAAATAGAAAAAAGAAGAACAAAAAATCTGGTTAAAATGGAAATAAATTTTTGAGATCAAAAAAAAAAAAATGACATTTAGAATTTAATAATATAGATTATCAACAATAGATTCAATAAAGAAATAATTAAATTAAAACAGATTATTAGGTTATTTTTTAGTACAGAGTGCTTAGATTTTTCCTTTATTTCTATTCTGATATATTATAATCAGTTTAATTTTTCAAATTATTTATAATTTTATTTCAAACATAAAAATTCTTTTATTTCCTCATGTCAATTGCTTTTTTTTTAACAATTCAAAAAAAAAAAGAATGTGGAAATATTTGAATTTAAAAAATTCTTTAATAATGTCAACATAATATTTTAGAAGAAAATAAGATCAACATTTTAAAAAAAAAAAAAAAAAAAAATGAAATTTGTCAACTCTTTTGAAAAGAAAAGATTGAAAATTTTATTAATAATAATAAAAAGAAATAACCGTAATGTTTCACATTCTTTATTAATTATTTCCACAGGTTTGACAGTATTACAATTAATTGTTTTCATATCATTTGTGTCACATTCGTCAAGTAATGATGCTATCAAGTATGTTTTCCTTTTTGGCATTATTCTTTTCTTATTCAATCTGAAAAATTTTTTCTTATCAGAAATTATATCATTAAATATAATTTTCTTTCTTTTTTTTTTTATATCTGTCAAAATTTTCAATTAACTTTTTGCATCGTTAATTTTATATTTGATTGAAAATTGATTATCCTAAAAAAATTGTGAAAATCAAAAAAATGAAATTTTTTTTTATATGAACAAATAGTTTGTAATTTTCAACAAATAATCTTCAAAGCAATCGATAATTTTTAAAAGTAAGAACAAATATTTATTTTTAACACAGTTTTTTTTTTTCTTTTTTCTTTTTATTTTCTTTCTTTTCTTTTCTTTTCTTTTTTTTTTTTTTTGAGATGAAAAATTATTTTAACATATTTTTTTCTTATGCTATCAATCATAGTCCTAAAAGTATAATACTGAAATTGCGAGCCAAACTTTCGGATATTATCCGGAAAGAGTAGTATTAGGATTGATAGTCAAAGTATTACAATATTATCCAGAAATGATACTACTATAGCTAAAAACAGAACTACTGGAATATTATCCGGAAATGTTACTACTATAGATGATGACGATGAAACTATTGAAATATTATCCGGAAATGATAGCATTTGTACTGAAAACTAAATTATCCGATAAACAAAAAAAATGAAAATAAATGGCTTAGGAATAAATGGTTGAGAATTATAAGAATATAACTTACATAATAGTTAATTCTATTTCGTCTTGTATGTACAAGTAAAATTATATGAGACGTTTCGGAATTACGGTAAAAGTATGAAAATGAAAAAGGAGAAGAATGATAGGATGAGAAGAGGAAAGGCGGGGAAAAACAGAAAAATAGATTAGAGGTAAAAAATAAAAATAAAATGATGAATAGTTATATGAGAGAATGTTAAAGGTCAATAGTAGGAGTAGTAGTAGTAGCAATTGTCGCATTAAGGGAAGCGCAATATGTCAGAGAGAAATCTCTTTTAGTAAGAGAAAATGGGAGAGGCATCATTCTCTTTGTAACTAACTCTCTCTCTGTCAATCATTTAGCTAAATCTACCGTAATCTTCTTATTTTAATTCCTTTTTTTTTTTTTTTTTTTTCATTTTAAATTATAAATACAATTCTTCACAATAAATTCATACTATTAATTTACTATTAAATTAATTTATTATAATTATCAAATAATGGAATGGAAATGATAAAGTATAAAAAAAAAGTAAATGGTTATTATATTGTTTATTTATTTTACTGATAAAATGATATGCAATTAAATATTGATCCAATTTTAAATAAATATATTAAAAAAAAAAAAAAAAAAAAAAAAAAACGCAACAAAATCGAAGTATAATTTTGGATTATCAGAAAAAAAAATACTGTATGAATCAGTTTCTATTTAGCAGTAATACTTGAATAATTAATTCCAATGATGTCATTTTATTTGCCATAAAATACATTGTTATTAAAAATATTTTGAAACGATAAAATGAAATTATTTATTGATTAATTCGATTTATATTAACTAATTTCGTTTCCTTTATTCTATTTTAAAAGAAATAAAAATATCGTTTTAATAAGATTTAAAAATTCGCCTTTTTTTGTACAACAAATAAAATAAGGAAAATACATTAAGCACTGAGACAAAATTTTCAGCTGTTCCCAGAAATTTATTCAGTTCAGTTGAGCTTTTATTTCAGAAAAATTTATTTTAATTTCAATTTAACTTCAAAACTAAATATATCAGTTTTTTTTTTCAATTTAAAGTCTAGCATGAAGTGTAAAATTATTTTAAATTTAAAATCAAACATGAAATGTAAAATTTACAAATTGCGAAAAAAAACCTAGTTTTTAAGTTCAGAATTAATATTTACTCTTCTTTTAATTTTAATTAAATAACTATTATTTTTTGTTTTACCAATAATTTTTCGTCTTCATTTTTTTACCAAATAATAATGAAATTAAAATGCAATTTGTAAATAATTTCTCGCTGCTTTTTGGCACAATTCTTTGTTTTCATTTTATTATATAAATTAATAATTAATTTCCATTATTGTAATTTACCATGCTCAGTTTTTCATTTTCAACATGAATGCAGTTGAATGGAATTTGCATTTGCATGCATTTGCAGTAACTTTCAAATTTTCTATATCTTTTATTTGGTTAATTTAATAAATTAAAAATTATCACTCAAATTTATGCTTAAATTATATAAATGTTATCATCAAATGATATTGCAAAATGATAAATTGAATAGAATTAAACGAAATAAACAAATATTATATTAATTGTCATCTCAATTACACAATTATATTTTTTAGCAACTTGACAACTTATCTGATAATCTAATCCATTTTTCAATGTTCTGTAAACAAATCCATCAGATGATGATGCAATAATATATCAGTAATGCCATCATCTTACATATACCAAATCAAAAATTTCAATTCATTCTGTCATCTGACATTTGTCAACAATGACAGCAATATCTTGCAGATATTATTTTATAATAATTCAATTAAAACTTTATCAATGTGCGAGTTTTTAATTAAAATTAGAAAAATCACAACATTTTTCATCTTTTTTAAAACTTCGTTTATTACGATTGTAAAAGAAAAAGTATATGGCAAACAATTCAATTAATATTTTTAAATGATTACAAAATAGAATTAATTTTTATTTATGAATGTACTATTACATCTCACTGCAATAATTTATTGTTTAAAATTAAATTAAAAAGAAATAAAACTAAATAATAATAAAATTTCATAGAATACGAATTTAAATTATATTATTTAAGTAATATTAAATAATTTTGATATATTTTGATTTTCGTTAATTTCTAGTTCTATCATTTTTTTTTTCTTTCGCAGTATTAAAATCTTAATACTTTTAAAATATTATCAAAATATAGCAACACTTTCTTCTGCATTCATTTTTTTTTTCGAAGCAAATAAATAATTTTGTTTTTTTTTTTTTTCACAAAATAAAATAAAATGAGGAAAATGTTAAAGTTATAAATTAAAATTATTTCATAAATTACAACTAATTACTACTATTTCATTGAATTGAATTGAATTGTTGATAATTTTATCAATTATTTTATAAAACATTTGCATCTTATTTTATTTTAATTAAATTGCAAAAATTAAAAATAAAATTGATTAGTAATAAAATTAAAGCATGAAAGTTAGTTATTCATAGTAAAAAGATTAACAAGATGATCAATAAATGGTATCTTTAACAAAGATTTTGCTGATCGATGTTTTAGAGCTAAGTGAAATGAATCCTTGAGAATGCGCAATTAGCTTTTAGCACATTTAGAAGCTATTGGTACACTCTTAAAAACTGTCACTGTTTTAAGGATGAATGTGAATGACACTTGGGGACAATCAGTTATTCTCACATACATATGCTGCATTTTTCCTTTTTCCTTTTTCCTTTTTTTTTTTAACTATCTTCTCATTAATTCAATTATTTATTCATTATATCATTGCTTGCAATATAAATATAATTCTTTAAAAAGTTAAAATTTTTATCTTTTTTATTTTTAAATAAGTAAATTTTTATCTTTAAAATTGTTAAAATTTACTCATTTATTTTATGTAAATAATACTATTAAATAATTTGTATCATCAATTTATTCCTTCGAGAAATTTAACCTTGGTTAACCATCATTAAAAAATGATAATCTGATGCATAATTACAAAAGTTATAAATTTAATAACTAGGAATACTTGAAAGAATAATGCATTTTCTAGTTTCAGATAAATGAATTCTCTGTTAAATGTTAAGAGAACATGTCAAAATATTAATTAATTGTTTAATTTATTTGCTTAGAATGTTGCACAGTTTGATTTTGAATTTAACATTTTTATGAAATTTCTCTCTTTTTTCAAATTTTCAAAAAAGAAAGACGAAAATTAAGTAAATTAATAAAATAAAAATAAATGTATGCAAAAAATTTGTGCTATTTCATTCGTTACAAAATTTGAAAAAAAAAAAAAAAAATCAACTGTTATCACTGTAGTGATAATTTATTATTTTTGTAGTCATAATAATTTATCATTATCATGATCTGCACTATGTTCATATATTCACTATCGTCAGAATAATCATCATCACATACTTGGAATATTCATTTGTAATCATTGGATTAATTAATTAACATTTGACCTCAACATTTCTGCTCATCCTATTTTCTGATGATGATTCTTATACAAATTGCGCCACTTTATAAGTACATTTAAGCCGGAATAAGTATCTGATATTTGTATATCGGTTACAATAATCCGTTAATGCTAACATATCATTATGCTTCTGTTTTTTAAAGTGCATATATCTAATTATAAAAATTTATGACATGTTAATTAATTACAAAGCATTTATTAATTATGCATAGAATTATTTTTGTATTGGGATAAAAGATGAACAAAAAAAATTAGCAAAATAAATTAATGGCAAATGTCAAATAACATTTTAGAAGAGAATATTTGATAAAGCTTAATGAATAAGTTTAGTCTATTTCAGTAATATTTAATGATGAAAATCATTATTTCAGATAATTATATATAATCATAGAATTCTGCTTACTATGCTTGATTTTCTTTTTTTTTTTGTTAAAAAAATTGGTTTTTTTTTTCTAATTAATTATTGCTGTTGCTATTATCATCCTTATAAAAATTAAAAATAAAACATATGTGAATAGTTAAAAAGTTTTGATTAACCTCTATGAAAACAAATCAAATTATATCTAAATTATAATATATCATGAAAATTTCCTAAAAACATATCAATGATTCAAATTTTCAATTATTTAATATTTTAAATATTTGTCAAGGATGATGATCAGTCATTACACATTTATATATAACATTGTTAATACAAATGCTTTTAATTGATATTTTTATTTAAATATAGTATATTTGATAAAAATAAAAGCAATATATTTTATATTTCTTTAATTAAAAATAATATATATACATTTATTTAATTAGAAATAGTATATTAAAAAGTATTATGAAAAAATTATTTTAAATATTTACAATATTTTATAATCAAAAGAATAAATATGAAAAAATGAACAAAATTTTGGATAAGAAAAAAAAAAAAAAAGAAGGAAATGATTACTTCATACTTTATTACTTAAATAATTAAATGAGGAAAATCAAACATTGTAGAATTATTGATGCGGAAAGTGAATATAGATAATAACCTAAGTGAAGAAAGAAGTATCAAGTGTAAACGAATACACCACCTGCTGTTAAATTTGCCACATCAGTGAATTCATCATCAAAATCATCAATTGACAATTGACAGTTTACATGATTTTCTCTCTCTCTCTCTCTCTCTCTCTCATATCATTTTATATGATACTTGTTGTGATACGTATGATACGTACGTTACGCAATTACTGTTAATCTATACGATAATACTGGAATTAAAAAGAGAGAGAGAGAGGGAGAAGCAGAAGAAAAAAAGTGTCAAATAGTGTCAAATCAAATAGTTATTTAAATATGTATTGCTAAATTATATATATTTAATTAATAAAATTAATAATAAAGTCATTTCTTATATTTAATAAAAGTATTAAAACAATGTGCAAAAAATTTTTTTTTAAAAAAATTTTTTTTTTTACAATAGCAAAAATTTGATGAAAAAAAGTTTTTTTTTTTTGCATATTAAAAAAAAATTTTTGAAAGCTACGTTTTTGCTAATTTCGTGCTTTTATTAGAATTTAAAGATATTAAATATATGAAATGAATTGATTATACTAGAAAATATAACAGTTTTGTGCAGTTTACAAACTTTTTTTTTTTAAAAAAACAAAAATAGTTTATGTTTAGCTTTTTATATAAGTAAAAATCTAATATTTTATTTGAGTTAAAATTTAATATTTTACAAGAAAAAAAAAAAAAAAGGGAACTATTACGATTTGTTATTTTAATATAAAACATCATTTTAGATAAAGCGCATCTTGACATTTTAATATTGCATATTCTTAGCAATTTTTGAAATGATATTATCAGAAAGATAGGATATTCATCACGCTATATGATTATTATTCATTATAATATATTTTTATCGAAGCGCTAAAATGACTTTTTGTTTTTAAAAAAAATTTTTTAATAACAACTGCTGAACATGTAAAAGTACCACTAATATACATTCACATTTCATTGACTTAATAAATAATTAATCATTCAATCATCTCAAGATATCTCCTGATCTCCTGACCAGAGATACGCAATTTTGAAAAGGTTTTAACACGCACATCTATTTTTCGTCTTTCCCTAAAGTGATGACGATTGATAAGCTAATACAGAAAGCCTAGCAATATATGGCTAATTTTGATTACCTTCATCAATCCATTTTGCCTATTTTACGAAAATGTATACAGCATGAAAGAAATTAATTTAAAAAGGGACAAACATACATGTATATGTATATATAAGTAATTTTGTTCAATAGATGAAACATTATAAAGAAGCAAAAAATGCACAATGCAATATTTTTTGTAGATTATAAATTATCATAAAATGATAGCGAAAAAATTAAATATAACGTATTATTTTAATGTTATGAAATTTATGAGTTAACTTATTCAAATTGATAACAGTTTGATTGGGTTTTTTTTTCTCTTAAAATTGTAATCAAATATTTTACTTTTTTTTTTTTTTTTGTTTATCTTTGTTTTAAATCCACACATGAAAAAGTTGCCTTAGATGTTTTACAGTATTGAAAGGTATTCTTGGAGACTTCTCTCAACAATTAATTATTGATACAAATGAAGGGCACTTTACTCATTTGAACAGATTATTCGAGACTACTCTCGAATATATCATTCTGCATATTCCAGTGGTTAGCATCATCATAAAATAATTATTTTACTGAAATTCATCTAAAATTTTCAAGTGAAACACAATTGAAATTTTTGTCCATTTAAATTGATTAAATTATTTGTTACGTTTTGTAATAAATTCAATTCAGCAGTGTACATTTAAAATTTTTGAAAAATATTTGATAAATCATATAAATTGTAAACTTTCTTACCAGGCAAGCATAATTAATAGTATGTTCTAGAAAATTGATGGAAAAAAGAAAATTCATTTTATTTCGAAAACTGTAAAAAAGCGGAAATTTAAAGAAAAATAAATGAAAAATTTTTGGAAAAAAACTACTGGGAATAATCAATAAAATCAGATTTAAATCAAACTGAATATAATTTTGTTTTAAATGTGAACCTTAAAACGAAAAATTAAAAAATTAGAAGAAAGTTAGGACGGAAAAAAAATGAAAAAAGCAGAATTTAACATTAAAATTTTAACTTTTATATATATAAAAAGTATGCATAACACTCCATCACATTTCAGCACCGATTAGTAACTATGCCGAATTATGGGATAGAACGTTTTCTCAATGAAATATCAATTTGAAAGCATTTCCCATTGTTACAATAAATGCATTTAAAACAATTCTTTCAAGACTGTGAACAGTTTTCCGGATAACATTTTCTCCTTTATAATGCAACATATTTCTGAATCACAAATGAACTGAACATCTAATTTTCATGGTCTGTAGCATAGAACTCATATGCAACATTTGAAATTTTCAAGTCTTTCTTCAATTGATGGCAGAGGTAGAAGTATTTCTTTAAAGAGGGTTAGGTTTCACAACAGTTTCGATAAAGATAGGCTATACACAGGGCAATAAAAATAGTACAGTAAAGGATAATAGGAAGAATTTTTACGATGAGGAAATGCTTGAATTGGTATGCAGTTTAGTTGTATTTGTGATTAAAAGCAGGAAGAAATATTATAGATGATGAGGGTATGCAGACATTGATGCAGATTGAAGCAATTTGTAAATGGAAAAAATAGTGAAACGATTAACAGTAATTAACAATGGGAATAGTAGTAACAAGTTATCAATGATAACAAAAACACTGGATGGCAAGATATCAGTGATAATGATGATAGTGATATATTCCTGAATAAATTATTATTGCTTGTTAACTATTATTATGCTTGTTTCCTTGTGTCTTAATTCGGTTGTGGAAAAATTGGCTAAATAATATTCCAGAACAGCTTCATACATATTCATTCTTTGTTAACTCTAATAATTTTATGATTTTGAATTTGTCTAAAGTTTTACTCATTTAAAAAAAAAGAATCATAAAATAATGGAAGTAAAACATATTAAGTAATTGTTTCAGTGTATTAGACTATACCATTCGATTGAAAGTGGAGTGAAAAATCATTTAAGAAATTAATGAATCGGAAAAGAGCGAGAAGTAGTGATAATAGTTTATCTACAAATTCCGGTCAGGTCTGTCTGAAAATGTCTTCTTAAACAGTTTCAGTTTTCATTTCCTGTGCAAATTTATTAAATTATTATGCATAATTTATTAATGCAAATAAAATCGATTTTTTATAAAAGCGAGAGAATCATTCATTTTTTTATTATTCCAAACTGAGGGTTGGTAGCGTGCAGACCGTTTAAGGAAGTCAGGATTTTACTTAACTTTAAATTTACTATTCAGATACATTCCCTTGCTGATGGTTTGTAATAAACTTTTTGTCAGGTTTTAAAATTTTTGTTTTTCCGTACTATTAGAAAACCTCTATATGTTACTAATATTACTGCTGTTTAACACTTCCCACTCAGTCAGGTCATAGCGAAGAAAACTTGAAGAAAAGGTTGATCTAGAGGAAATCATGCAATTAGGTTAATTTAGATTAAAATTTAGTACTTCTTTAGGGAATCAAAAATGTGACTTTTTGTTTTATTTCAGATGAAACCACAGACAAATACACAGCGACATTTCGATTTCAGTCAAGATCAGAAAGTACAGGAATTACAGAGAAGAATTTGCAGTAAAGTAAGTATCGTTTCAATTTATTACTTAATATTTGGTCGCCTACAGTATAGGATTTAGAAAAGAAAATATTTGGGACAGTTATACTGGCGAATTTTTCAAGAAAAAAAAGAGCTTTTTTTCCTGGGTTTCTAAAGTCTGTTCTTTTTTATGAAAACATAGTGATTTATTTCAAAGTTGACGTTCTTTCGAATCTGTTTTAGCAAAAGAAATATTTTTTCTCGAATTTCTTATTAAATTGTTCATTACTTTTATGTTTTGCATATTCATATTTTTTGAGTGCTAAACATAAATTGGGAATCAAACAGTTCCTGTGATGCTTTCAGACTAATATACCGTCTCCGGATAAAGGTGACGTGAAATTTCCATGTCCTACGAATTCGAATAAGAATTTTGGGTTTGCTAAGTGTTATCGACAGGTCAGAAAGAATCCTGCATGCTCTAGACCAGCATATGATACAGATTTCAAGTATGATTTTATTTCATTTTTCAGCTTTTTGGGAAATTCATTGGATGACGCATGTTTTCTTAAAACATACATTAACATTCAATTTCTTGTCTATTAAGCAATTGCAATATGTATTTGTACTGCTTTTAAATACAAATTCCTACCAGATTACCTTAAATATGCTCTAAAATATTATTCTAGAAAGCTTATTATTCAAGAAAACTACATGGTATACTTAGTGTTTGACCATGTGTATGCTGTAATCCTGCTTGCTTTTTGTCAAATATTACATTTTTAAATAGTTATTAATGTTGTTACTCTGTTATCTTTTAACATAGTGTAATTTTTAGAACAGCCAGTGGACGACCAGTTGTAAAAAAAGTAATGCCAGTGTTTGCTGATAATGTAAGTTTACCAGTGAATCTTTTATGCTTTTTGCAGTTTATATTTCAACACTGTAAGATAAAACAAATAGGAATTTTCTTTAACACATCAAAAAAATAATAAATCTGTCTCAAAAATTTGATAAATTTAGTAAGCATTTCTTTACGCTACTAGCATTGAACTGAGTAAGCGCGAAAGGATCGATAGATCCTTTCACTTAATTGGTGAAAAGCTTTATTCCTAGGAATGAATTTTAGGAAATATTACAAAATAAATTGATCATTTCTTTTTTTCAGACAAACGCCAATAACGAGAAGACACAGCGCTATTTGGGAGGAAGGTAAATTACTGTTTTATATTTCCGTTCTTTCTCTCTTTGGGAACTTTCGCATTTTCATTCATACCCCTAATTGTATATCACTTTTGTATTATTTCAAATATTAATTTTCTAATATTTTATTTCATATTTTTCCTCTAGCTAATGTTTGGCTTGTATTCATGGTCTTCAGATGTCAGTGCATTTTTGTATTGCTGAATACACTTGCAGGCTTGTTAAATGTTGTTTAGAAAATGATTTTCTCCATTTACTATGAACTGCTTTCATGTTATGCTTTCACCTATTCCATTTTCTCGGTGCATCATTCTTCTGTGGTTCAAAATTTCTAAAAGTTATACATTTACAGGAAAGTTGGTCTGGGGAGTAAGCTGTTACTTAAAATGGATACGAAAGAAACTGGTTGTGAATCACTGCAGAATAAACAGACTAAAATGAATTTTGAATGTGGAGTTACACATAAAAGGGAAGGATGGAAGGCGGATGAATCACTAAAAAATTTGGAAGACAATATAATTAATTTAATCGAAGCGGAGGTTCGTTGCTATGCTTCATGTTTTTAATAAGCTATGCATTTGAATTTTAAGCGCTTGAGCAGATTATTACTTTGACATTTTACTGAGCTGTTTTCATTGTATCATTTCATGTGATTTATACTTTTCTGGGACGGAATGAATATGACAACAGTAACACTGCTGCATAACTTAATTTCTATTAGGTGCTGCTGTGTAAGCAGTTATGCAAATTTTTTGACAAAGTTCAGATTCTTGATCTTGAGACTTTTTATTTCTCTTTAATATTTTTTTTTTTTTTTTTTTTTGAAGATAAAGGAATTTCTTTTCTCCCCTGAAAATAGCAAATTGATAATTTTCTCAAGTTTTTAATTTTCAGATCATGCCAACGCGAACGGATATTCAATGGGCGGATATATCTGGTTTGGAGTTGGCAAAAAAAGCACTTAAAGAAATTATCGTTCTTCCGTTTCTCAGACCGTATGATTTTATGTATATAACATTCCTTTGTACAGTCAGTACAAATAGAAATATTTTTATAAATTACTTTACTGTTAGGGAATATCGGAACAAAATATGCTTATTTCTACACGAAACAATAGTATTAATTTTTATAATGTTCATTTACATTCAGTTAATAATGATAATAAGAAATGTTCACATATCAAAACTAAATTTGAAAAAAAGTTAAAGTATCTTAATGCGCTTCGATGAAATCGAATATTGATATCCATTATCTGAAAATGATAGAAAATACAAAATTTTCGTATCGTTTCTTATCGGTTATTTGTTTTGTTTTCTTTACATCCCATCTCTCATGAGTACGATTTCAGTGACATTTTCAAGGGTATACGTGCACCACCTAAAGGTGTGTTGCTTTTCGGACCACCTGGTACTGGCAAAACCATGATTGGTTAGTATATATCCTTACTAGTTAAAGGTTTAAATATTTTCTATGAATTTGTATGAACAATATCTTGAGTTCTGTGAAAATACTATTGCAGGACGATGTGTTGCATCGCAATGTAACGCAACATTTTTCAATATAGCCGCATCGTCTATTACGTCAAAATGGGTTGGTGAAGGCGAAAAACTTGTTAGAGCTCTTTTTGCGATAGCACGGGTTTTACAGCCTTCTGTGGTTTTCATTGATGAAGTGAGCTGAGTTTTACTTTACCTTGTTCCAAAGAACATAATTAGCGGCCAAAAATTTCCAATAAAATCTTTACATCATTTCATTGCTAACTTTTTTTTTATTGCTAGGCCATGACTACAAGCGTAGGTTTTCAAAAATTTCGTAGTAATTTTTCCTTACATTACATCGTTTATTTATTTGTTTTCATGAAAGACGGTTTGTTTGAAGATATTAGATACAAGCATTCTCTTATGGTTTCCATGTTGTACATCCTAGTTGTTAAAACTTGACGACCCATACTGAATAATATTAAAAGTGTAAAGTCATTAATTAATTCCATTGTTTTTTCAGATTAATTTCAGATTGATTCTCTAACTGTAATTTCAGATTGATTCTCTGCTGAAAAGTCGGAATGAGAGTGAGCATGATTCATCAAGGCGAATAAAGACCGAATTTCTTATCCATTTAGATGGTGTTGCAACTACCTCTGATGATAGAATTCTTGTTTTAGGAGCTACAAACAGGTATATAACTTTCTATTATTTTACATTCCTTTTTTTTTTTCCATTGATTTTTTCTTCAGATGAATTTTTCATTTTTTATTAAAAATACGTTATTTCGAATTCATTTTTCTGTTGTTCGCTTTTGAGGAAGTATTTGAATTGACTAGAGAAGATAAAGCTACATTGTGTGAATTATTTCCATTTTCATTTTTACTTATATTTCATTATTTTTTTTTTTAAGACCTGAGGAATTGGATTCAGCTGTTAAACGTCGTTTTGCGAAACGTCTGTACATTGGTTTACCATCTGCTGCTGCAAGAGCACAAATGATTTTCTCACTTCTCAGTGATCAAAAACATAATCTTTCGGATGACGATGTACAGTCCATAGCGAAATTAACAGACGGTGAATGTGGCAAAATTTATTATGATTAAGTGATTATTCATTGAAAATGTATTTAATTCTTTTATTATCACAGGTGAAATGAATTTCATTAACGTGAATGTTACAGGCTATTCTGGAGCAGATATGAAACAACTGTGCTCCGAAGCAGCAATGATTCCAGTTCGTAATATTGTTGATTCATTCTCACTTGATCTTGTTTCTTTCAGCGCTGAAGAGGTTAGTTTTCATAAATGGGAAGATGAAATTGTGCATTAGAAATGAAATGAAATAAAAAAGAACCACTTAATTTCGGAATGTTATCGATTTCTTTGAATAGTTCTTACCACGAAAAATATTATTAACCCAGTGAATCTAGTTTTTCATTAATTTTCATTGTTAGTAATCCTTGCTATCTTTGTTTTTTTTTTTTTGTTTTTTTTTTCTTTTTTCTTCTTTTCGTCAAGTTAAAAAATAATGCTTGTTCAGATCCGTCCAATCTGTTTTTCGGATTTCGAATTAGCAATGCGTTCTGTTCGCCCAACGGTTGTTGCAGAGGATTTAGAAGGGTATCAGGCATGGAACAAACAATATGGCTCTTTTGTTTCGGAATAAAACGATAATGTTTTGAATGAGAGTCGTAGAAAATTGGTGCCATTATTTTAGGATTCATCTATACTTCCAAGAGTTATGGTTATATCCTTTCTGATGAAATTTTTTTGTGAGTATAAACTTCTGTTGTATTTCTGTTCACTGTTATATTTTTGATAAAGAGTTCTGCTATTATCCATTTCCGTTTCCATACTATATGTGTGGTATGCTGACCTTTGCGTTTATATTCAGCAGTTTTAAGAACTTTTCGAGTTTAATAAAAATTTCCTTTTTTTGGCCTTGATTTTGAATAAAGAATTTGTTGTACAGTGAACCTAGCCAGTTGATTACTTTTCCAGTTTCAAATTGCTATTCTTATAGTCCAAAACATATATATAAATAGTGAAAGTATTACTAAATACTGCATATAAAGTTGTAGAAATACGCGACAGGAGTGCATATATGCTACTTTAAACATTACATACGTCACAAATTAATTAGTCATTCTAGATGCTTCTAAAATTGTGGTTATAGCAGATTAGTTTTTAGACATAATTATGTTTTGCATTTGAAGTTGGGATTGTCAGAATTAAATTATGGTGGAGCAAAACGAATTAGAAAATTATCGGTCGCAGGTTTGTGTACAATTTCTTTTCAATTAATTTTTTTTTTGCTAAAGCTCAAGTGTCGATCGATTGTGATCCTTAAGTTTATTATCTTAGCATTAAGGTAAAAATAATGAGTAGAATGTTCATTCAGATGGATTATAAATGAATTTGTTTCATGCATTTACATACAGTTAACATTCTTTGAGTGAACATTTGTGTATGGAATGATTCAAAAGATTAACTGCACTGGCCCAAATGTTACTAGACTAATATTACTTAAAATCCTGAAAAGCAATTTCACTATAAAATTCTTACTTTTTCAGCTTAAAGAAATTGATGCAGAGCTTGAAACATGTACAGATCTTCAGAGAAGAAATACTCTGATGGATTCACATTCTGACTTAGTAGAACTTATTGCACTTTTGACCGGTAATAAGATTTCAGCTTTGATATAAAATGAATTTCACATTTTTTTTTTTTTTTTTTGTATATAAAGACTAACCATTAATCAGTGCAATAAGTTTTTAGCACTTACATAAATCTTGCGAAAATTTTGGATATTAATGAAGAAATTGTACTGTTTATCCCATTATCTAACTAAATAGTTAAGTAGTAATGATTTTATTGAATAAAGAAGCGTTGACTGAATTTTGAATTATTTAATATTATATTTTTACTACACTATGTAATTCTTTAAGATTTTAGAAAATTTATTCTATATCGTTTTGCAAGCATTGTTGATCTTATTGCAGAAAATGAAACAACCTCGGTAACCGAACAGGATTTCAATGAAACTCATACGAGCAGTGATGTGCAAGATTCTAGTCAATTAATTGGAATGCACTGTCTTGCACCGTACAATCGAACTGTTGATCGTGCGGTGCATTTCCACGACGCTGTCATTTTAGATTTTGTTGAAGATTCAAGTGAAGAAGATGACCTAAAGGTATATTAGGCTAACTAATTTTTGTAACTTTTTTTTTACAATGAAACCTGATGTAGAACGTTGAAAATTGGTTACATGAATAAATTTTTTTATTGATAAAGTGAAACTTCAGAATCTTTAGACAGTATTTTAGATGATTATAGGTCAAAGTATTATATGGTCATCCTCTGGAAGCAGCAATGAGACCTTGCGAATATTTTCTTAATGATCGTTGTAATTATGGAAATGAATGTCGCTTTTCGCATGGTGAAGAAGTTTCGTTTTCAGCCCTTCGAGAGTATCAGCAACCGGATATTTCGTATGTTTATAAACTGCACCGTGCCGTGTCATTATTAGCGTTGATGAATTGCTTTATAAATAAAGATTTAATTATTACCTCTTAAATGAAGATTTAATTATCACCTCTTTCGATCAAAAAAAAGTTACTTTTTTATTTAGAATGGTAAGAGAAAACTCACTTGTACTTGTATTGGGTGAAAATAAATTATGGAGCAGTGCTCGAGTTACTGCAATGGATGGTGAGAAATTGGCAGTTCGGTTATTGCTTACTGGGAAAGAAATTGCTGTGGATCAGAATAAGATTTATCCAATCCCACAACTAGCTAATGACGACGAAGGTTTTGTTAAGCTCAACTCTTTTTTTTTTCTTGAAATTATATTCTTTAAAATTCTAAAACAATCAAAGTTTCTTTGTGTTCAAATGAAATATTAGAACGAAACAGAAATTTGATGCATCTTCTTTAGTACCCAGTTAAGCAATTATTTTGTGAAGTAGGCTTAAAAGGCTAGTCTTGTAATCATTTCGAATGATATTGTATTGTTTCTTTAGTTAATTCAACATTTAGTCAATTTGATTATTGTTTTCAGACAAAATCACTCTCTGTAATCAATAAGCTTTCTTTGATGGGATCTAAATTTGAACTGGAATTACATACTGCTTTAGATGAAGCTGCTACGAATGATTTAGCAACAAGTTCATGGAAAGAATATAAGCAGGAAAGACGTGGAAATGTTACTATCGGCGATATCGGTGATTGGGAGAAGCATACACGTGGTATCGGGATGAAGCTATTGCTGAAAATGGGTTATCGGGCTGGCGAAGGACTTGGCAGAAAATCTGATGGTATCGTACATGCCATACAACCAGTGATCTTCCCCAAAAGTATGTCAAATTTCACTTTTCTCGGTTTTTTTTTTTGGAAAAGCTTAATTAGTGTTATACGAGAATCAAAAAGGTTAATTAGTACGTTGCTTGGTCGTTCAGGAAAAATCTCTATTTCATATTATACATTGGTATTGTGAAAATATAAGCTAACAGATATTTCACTTATTTTACTATGAGATAATTATTTCGCTATTCTGTTATTCAAATTTTCTTATTTCTTTTGAAATTCTCCTTTGACTAAATTTTTTTCTGTGGTCTTTAGGTTTTTTTTTTTTTTTTTTTTTTTTTTTTTTTAAAGATAAATCATTGGATATATGTATGGAAGAGAAGAACAAAAGAGTGGTGGATGGAATGAATTCTCGTCAGCAGGTTAAACAGACAATCGTAAAAAAGCTGAAAGCTGTTGAACAACCAGTCGATGTTTTCCAGTTGTTGAATGATAAATTAAATAAAACTTCATCTATGGAAGAACAAAGAGATGAAGTGAAAGAGATAGAAAAGTTGCAGGTGAGTAAATTGGTGTATCGAATAATCAGAAACGAGTTTACAGGTTGATTTTTTCAAGTTTTTACTGAAACTTTTGTGTGTTTTTATTTGAAAGACATTTTTTTGGGAAAAATTGTTTTAATATTAAAAAATATGATGCTGTTATTACTGACTGGATCAGTTAGTAAGAAAACTTACAGATTCAAGGGTGAGCAGATTAGATTCAAAAATTAAATATTTTCTGTTAACGCTACCAATCCGAACTTTTTGTTGTGTTCCTAAGTTTGCATTTTCTCTACTTCAACTTTTTAGACACACTAATCGTGATGAAAACAAATAATATATTAGCATCCATAGAGCTGGAAAACTATTTTTCAGAACTGTTCCTCGACAAATCTCGGCATTCAATCGTTAGATTTGGACAAAAAGTTGAAAGAGCTAAAAGATAAGGAACGCAAACTACGCGAAGGTGTCACACGTAATCAACGTGACGCTGCTACAGCGGACAGGTTGAAGAAAAATTTGTTAAAATGTCGCGACGAGATACAACACCTGTTGAATCGACAGCAACGACTCAGTAAATTAATGGATAATCGAAGGAAGAAAAAAGACATATTTTAAGAATTAAGGATAAATTCATTTTTTTTAGTATTTACTAAGTAATTTTAAAGTTACTTCTAACTGTAATGTTTAGTAATATAAAATGTGATAATATCCGTTTCTTTTATGATTTTTACATGTTTAATCATAATGAAGTAAACTATGAAGAAATTATTTATTCGCAATTACTAAGTAATTTCAACGGTATTTCTAACTGTAAATTTATATATGAAAGGTGTAATTTTATTATAAATGTTTATATCGCATCAACTAATACACAGTGTCCTTGCCTATATTTATCATGGTTTGAAAAATTGATCTTTTCATTTTTCTTCCCAAATTACACTCATCGTCGAGAGCAGTCATATTATCCTGAATTGGTGTTCCTGTGGAAATGATAATTATTATGCATTCCTGGTTAATCAAATAACGATACATTAAAAAAAAGGCACTAAGGATGTCACACTTCGGAAATCTTTCATATCTCAGCCATTAAATCATAGAAGACATAAGTAAACGATCAACAAAATAAAAATAAATAAAAATAAAAAAACTCTTCAAAAAATGATCAATAAAGATCATATTTATTTGGAAAATTCTTGTCTAATAATGTAAACTTTTGCTGCATAAAAAGAAAAACAAGAAAAATAATTTAATAAAATATCACATCTCAATGTTTTATATTTTTAATTTTCAATGAGGAAATTTTGACAATTTTGATAATAGTCATTCATTTTTCAAATTTAGTAATTTGAGCTTCCCAAGTTTGTTATAAAATGGAATTTCCATAAAGAGCAGAATAGGAATCGCATTAAAATGTTCAATTTCATTATATCTACTTTTTTTTTTTTGCACTTTATTAAATTAATATTCATTATTTTTATCTGAAATTGTTAGAGATAATATTAATTATATTTGTAAAGTTATTAAGCTTCTTGTAATTATGTCAAATATTCGTAATGGTAAGTTATATTTTTTTGCAACTTTTTTTTTTTTTTGCATTTAATCCATCATTTCTATCAATTCTTTAAAATCTATTAAAGAAATTGGCTTTCAAAAAATGAAAAATAAAAAAAAAAAGAGTTGTCTTAAAAAGAAAGTAATTCAACTTGTTCAAAACTAAAAGATAATTTAGAAAGAGTCTTTCCAGTTTTAAGAATGCTAAATTATCTTTAAAAGATTTTAGCTGTCAATTTCAGTTTCATTTATCATCTCCAAGAGTTTAAATGTTAGTATTATGTTATAAAGTATCAAATATTCTCTGTAATAAGTAAAATGAACTTATGCTTTTTTTTCATTGATTTAATTCAAATGACTTTTTTTTCCTCTTTTTTCCATGTTAAATTAGATGTATACTATTACTTCTTTTTTTTTTGTTTTTTTGTTTTGTTTTGCTCTCATTCACCTCTTTTTCTTCTTCATTAAAAAATATATGCTAAAATTAGAATTAGTAATTAAGTACTGTCACAATTCAATTAACACTTATGATAGAAAGAATTGCATTTCAAATAAATAATTCAGTTTAAAAATTTCAAAAAACAAAATTTTTTTTCTTTTCTTCATTTCTTTTCTAATTATTATCAACCATATCTATTGATATGATTTATTTCAAATATTATCATTTCATACAAGATATAATTATTTCTTCATCTTCCACTTCTTTTTCTTCCTGTTTCGCTTATGAATTAAATTAAATTTGTTTTAATTAATTAATTAATATGAATCATTTGCAGTTATCATGAATATTTTAATATGAATATTCCATCGATATCATCAATTCATTCATTTCGTTTATATCATCTTTATGCAGCTGCTGGTTCTGCTGCATTTTTTGGTTTTATATTTGGTTTTGAAAGTGGAATTATAACTAATGCTTCATTCTACATGCAACATGATGAAGCTATGCAACCAATTAATCAAACATTTCTTTATATTTTAATGATTATTGCACCTGGTAATGAAATAAACACCTATCAAAATAATTTTACAAATATTAGAAATAAATTTTTTTTTTTTTGAATTGTTAATCTATTATATATAGTTTATCATTATATTATATATTGATTATAAACACGATTTTTTATCATCAAAAAAAAAAAAAAAAAAATTGTATTGGTCAATAATTTGATAATAGTATAAATTAATTAATATTATAACATTATTTATTTCATGAAATCAATTATTTAAAAATCTAGAAATGTAAATAAATTCAAAAGTGTAAGAGAAATTTGGAATAAGAATGGTTTTGGTAGTAAAAATTATTAACTTTTTATCTTATTTTAAGATTATAAATGAAGAAATCTTTCTTTTTTTTTTCTTTTTTGAAAACTTTCAAAATTGTTGAATTATTAAGATGAAGTCTGAAAATTTTTATTATCATTACTATTAAGCATTAACTATTATTATTATTGTTATTTTAAACCATATTAAAGCATTTATGAAATAAAATTTAGGATCAGCAGCAATAGCTTCTTTATTAGCTGCACCAATAAGCGATCATTTTGGTCGCAAAAAGGCTATCATAAGCGCAATTGTATGTGATACAATTGGCGCATTATTATGTTCATTGTCGCTAAATAAACAAATGCTTATTGTTGGGCGAATTATAATTGGTTTTGCGTTAGGTAAATATTTTACTCTGAATCTTAAATTTTTTCATTTTAATTTCGAATCATTTGAATACATACATATGATTTTCAAAAAAAAAAGTACAAGTTTTTGTTCTAAAAAATTTTTTGTAGTTTTTTGATTAAAAATTGCGTGAAGTAAAAGAATTTCATTGAATAAACAAAAGTTACTATTAATCTTCATTTATTAAATTATTTCAACAAATTAAAATAAATTTCTTTCCTTCATGTTTCTTTCAAAATGTTTACAACTAATCCATTTCATACCTTTTTTTTTTTTCTGGAGAATAAAAAAATAATTATTTGTTATCATTTTTAATTTCATTTTAAGATCTCCTAATATTTGGTTAGACAAAAGACAAAAGTTAAATCTTTTGTTTATTTATTAGTTCTAAAAAACAAAATAGCATATGATTTATGCTACTCTTTTCTCAAAATATTATTTATTTACAAAAAGAAGAGCAAATTTTTTTGTGTTATAAATTATTTTTATAATTCCGCGGAAAAAAAAGTAAGTAAAAAGCATATATTAATAAATTTCTTCTTTTTTTTTTTTACTTCACTGATAACATTGATATCAATGATAAGCTAAAAATAAACCTAAAGGTTTTGGATCGAGCGTTGTACCGGTGTATATCAGTGAAATATCATCACCTCATTGTCGTGGTTTTCTTCTGACATCATTTCAAATGTTTATTACATTTGGATTAGCATCAGCAAATATTGTTGCAGGTAAAATCGAAAAAAAAAAAATACACTAGTAAAATAAATTTTATTTTATAAAAATTAATTTGAAATGCAAATTTATAACAATCTATCAAATTTTCCCTTCATTATATCAGTTGGCATTCATTCATGGAACATTACGAGAAGTTAAAATTTTGAAAGCAACTATTTACATAATTTTGATATGCAATAAATCTGAGAGTAAACGGTGGATAATTTGAAAAATTAATTTTGAAAATTTTTTTTGAAAAAAAAGAATTTGAAAAGTTTTGATTAAAAGGATATATTGTAAAAGTAAGAATAAATTAATTAATGATCAAAATTCAGTAAATTATAAAATTATCTGCAAATTTTTTTTTTTTTCAATTCTTCAGTGTCAGGCAAAAAGTAGAAATGTTTATTTTTATTTACAAATTTGTTTAAAAAAAAAAAAAAATTGACTAACTAATTAAAAAAAAAGGACATTTAAATTAACTAACTAAATCATTTGTTGTTTAAGTTTATTTTTTATCCAGAAAATTCTGTTATTACAGGTATATCATCTCATGTGGAATGCATTTATGCTAAATGGCGTTTAATGCTTAGTTTCACAACTCTTCCAACTTTAATTCAATTTTTCGTCTTCTTATTCATGCCCGAAAGTCCACGATGGTTATGTGCTAATGATCAACAAGATGAAGGCATTCGAGTGATTTAATTAAAATAATAATAATTACTTTCTTTCTTAAAATTTAATAATACAACAATAATATCGTCAAAAATCCAATATTTAATTAATAATAATAACTGATAGCTATGTTAATCGCAATAAAATAAAAATATATTCATTAAATTTTATGCATATTTTTAGAATATAATTTTTATTTTTCTTTTCTTTTTGAATTAATCACTTATTGATTATTTTCTAGGTAACACAATGGCTTCATCGAAATGATGAAAAACTTCAACAGGAAGAAATTGATCGTTTAAATATTTATATTGGCTATAAAGAAAGGCTTAAAGAAATGTTAGGAGGTATACATGGAAGTTTTCAATTTAATTCAAGTTAAAGTATTCATATTTAATCCAGTTATTATATTATATTTTATCATTTGTATACTCAATTAATAATTGAATTCCAAAAAAAAAAATAATTTAAAACTATTTGAATTGAATCTTGTAATTTTATAATTTAACTAATTTGAATTGAATCTTGTAATTTTATAATTTAACTAATTTGAATTGAATCTTGTAATTTTATAATTTAACTAATTTGAATTGATTCTTGTAACAAAAGCGAAATAATTTGCAAAGAATGAATATAAGTTAGAAGTTAATATTTTAACAGTTTTTTTTTTCTAATTTTCATATAAAAAAATATTCTGCAAATATTGAAATCCTTTTTTTTTTTTTTCTTTTATCATTTGCTTCTAAAAGAAAATAACGATGAAAGAAAAGAAAAGAATTGCAATGTTTGCTACATTGGACAATTTGCGCTAACAAAATGAAATGAAGCATATACTTTTGAATGATTTGAAATTTATAGGTGGATGGCGTGTAATGCATCTCACGCGTGACATGCATGCATTGCAGCAAATATTACTTGGTTGCATGTTGCAAATATTTCAACAATTATCAGCTATAAATGCTATCATGTAATTACTTATTTAATTAAATTAATTTCAATATTTCGTTTCTTAATTAAAAGTAGGTAGTACTGTAATTTATACTTATTAAATTTTCTATTATTTTATTTAATCTACCTCTGAATTTTTATCAAATTATTAAAAAATTAGAATTTTTTTTTTTTTTGCTTTTTCTTTACCCTTCCTAGCAATAATTCTTCAAAAGAAAAATGAAAGCAAAAAGTTATAATTTGAATTGATTTTCTAACTTTTATATCAGTCATCATTCGTCAGCAATCATCAGATCAGCTAGAGTGAAAGAAGTAAAATCAATTATATGGCTTTCATGTGTTATATTAGGTAATTGATTTTTAAATAAAAATTAATTAACTATAAAAATTATGAAAAAAAGTGTGAATTTTAAATCATTTCCAAAAATTTTCACCTTTGCAGATTTAATTCTAAATTTGATGCTAATAGGATGTTTTAAAATTTAATTCAAACTACTTATCATATTGTTTATCATGATGACAGCCAAAAATAAAGGATAAATATTTGGGATATTCTTAAAATTCTGTTAAAAAAAATTTTTTTATTAATTCTACTGCAACATAGTTGGATGTTAGAATGAAAATCATATATACAACAATTTTTTTTAAAAATAAATTAAATGAACCGATTAAGTAAACTAGGAACAAAGTTTTAATTTATAATTAATATTTGAAATTGCATATCTGAATTTTATCATTTTATTTCAGTAATAAATTTCTTAAGTACTATTATTCCAATGCTAATCATCGAACGTTTCGGAAGGCGGAAAGTATTACTTACTTCTGTGGCAGGTGTAATTTTTGCGCTTATTTGCATGGGATTTTCATTTGGATATGTTAGCCGTGATTCCGTAATTACTCAACCTCTGAATGCAACTCTTGAAGATGTCATTCCGGATTTTATTCCGTATTTCAAGCATTGTGCTCAGCTTGAGTTAGTATCTCCTTTACTTTCATATTTCTAATCCTTTTGTTTTTTAATTGAATAAACTTATGAAATTTTAAATAGAACTGAAGAGCTCATTAGATTGAATTATTTAGTAATTTATGAAATGAATTATTTTGTAATAATAGTTGGAGTATTCCCTGAAATAGTTTTGATGTTATATTATTTTAGAAACTGTAATTTATGTACAAAAGACGAACACTGCGGTTTTTGTATGCCTAATAATTTTCCAACTTATGGGTAAGTAATTTTCAATAATTAATACTATTATTTGAACTATTATTACAAACAAACAAGCAAAAATAGATGAGGCAAAAATAATTTGCTAAAGTTAAAAGAAATTTTGGCAAATCATGAAAGCAGCAAATATATTATTACAAAAGTTGATAAATAGAAAGTGATGCGAAAAAAAAATTCAATAATTAAAATAAAACAAATAATTCAATAATTCAAGTGCTTTGTAAAATATAATTTTATTCACATAATAATACTTGCTTCGTTTTACAAAATATGTGTGAAATAATGATAATAACAATGATGACAGAGATAATATAATAATAATAATATTTAATTATATTTGATAATGATAACGACAATAATAATAATGACAACAATAAATGATCAATTAATTAAACCAACAAGTGAATAAATAAATAAACGAATGGATAAATAAATGAATTGAATCAATTCATTAATTGAATAAATGGGTAAAATAATCAATTAATTTGTAATTGAATTAATTAAATAGATAAATAAGTAAATTATTCAATCAATTAAATAAAATAAATGAATAAATGAAACAAATTATTTAAACAAAACAAATAAGTAAATAAGTAAACTTATTAATTTAATTAAACAATTGGATAAATAAACAATGCTAGCAAATTGATTAAATAAATAAATAAATAAGTGAATAAGTTAATTAAATGGATAAATAAATAAATTAGTTAAAATAAATGAATAGATAAAAGAAAAGCTAAGTAAATAAATAAATAGGATAAATTATTAAAAGAAATCAGTGAATAAAATAAAATGAAATAAATAAATAAATAAACAAATTTATTTATTAATTTAATTAAAAAAATGAAGAAATAAGTAATACTAACAATAGTGATAGTGATAATGATAGCAATAATTCTGCATAAGTCATTTAAAAAAGAATTTACATGCTAATAATCATTTAAAAAAAAATTTTGTTTAAACTGAGTTAATTATTCAATAAAAAAAAAAAAAAAAAAGATAAAAAAGGAAGATATATTCATAAAAACATTCTTATTGCCAATTAGTCATAAAATATTTTCACCACAAAAAAAAAAAATGCCACAATGAAAAATTGTTAAATTTCAGCTATTGTTTACCAATTGATCAAAAGGCAAGTGTAATTGAATCAAAATCATTAATAGGTCCGTGCTCTTTTGTCAATAATTCAATGAGGTATGACTGGATGGATGACTATTGCGCCACGGGTTACGCCATTTTACTTTTGGTTCCACTCGTAACGTTCATCGTATTCTTTGCTTGCGGTATATCTAACATTTCATTCATTCATTTTTCTTTTTTTAATAAATATTATTAATTATCATTTCTTTTTTTTTTTTTTTAAAACAATTAGTATTTTATATTTTGTTTATTTACTTTTTATTAGTATAGAAATAGACAAAAATTTTAATTAAATAGTTAAAAAAAAATTTATGAAAGAAAAGAAGAAGCAAATTTTATTATATTTTTTCATCATATCATTTTGTAATTTAATTATAATTTAAAAAAAAAAAAAAAAAAATTGAATACTAGAGCTAAAGTAATTGATACGATAGCATAAACAATTTGCTACCAATTTTATTTCACTTTGTAGAATTTTAACAAAAAAAAAAAAAAAAAAAAAAAGGAAGAAAAAGCGAAGAATTAGTACTAAGACTGATAGCATCGAAGAGTGAAGTTAATCTAAAAAGTTGTAAAACTAATCACAATTTTCCATCACATTTTTTTTTTTCCCACATGTTTATTGTTTTAAATAACAAACGAAAAATAATTCATATATTTATATATAACTTACAAATTTCTGCTACAATGTGTATCAACTGTTCAGTAAATGCTAAAAGTTTTTTATAAACAAATGAAATTTCAAGATAACTAAATAAAAGATGATGAAGAGAGTAACAGATTAATTATAATTTCATGAGCTTTTAAAATCAATAATGTCTAATTAATTAAATTAATGCTAATACTTTAAGGTTATGCACCATCTTCATGGATTATTAATGCAGAAATTTATCCGATGTGGGCACGAAGTATTTGTGTTAGCATTGCTGCATTTTGCAATTGGTTATTTGATATTATTGCTTCAACGTCTTTCACTTTACTGATTAGAAATATTGGAAGTGATTGTAAGATTTTTGAACAGAAAAATTAAAATTGTATTTGAAAAAAAAAAAAAAAAAAAAAAAGAAAAATTTTTATTAAACGATAGAAATTTAACAATAACAAGTGCATATGATTCGTTCTATTTGACTTAATATTACAATTAATCGCTAACTTTCTCTAATTTATTTTAAATATATTGTAAAAGTGAAAATTTACAAAATATATTTTTAAAAATTTCAGCAGCTTTCTTCATTTGCGCAGCTCTTACAATGGTTGCATTCGTGTTCTTCTTCATTTTCTTATCCGAAACAAAAGGCACAAGTTTGGAGGATTTAGAAAAAACGGCCAAACTTAACAAAAAACCTGCAACACTCGTATCTTTTACAGTTTGTTCCAATTCTTTATTTCAGCCAACAACATGCGAAGAAATGCAATAAAAATGAACTTTACAAGTTAAAAGTAGCATTTATTTACACAAATACGAAAAATAAAATAAGAAACAATTTGAAAAGTTTGAAACTACTACAAAGTTACTGGAAATAGTAAAGTAAAAACTAATAGTGCTTAGAAATCTGGCTTCTTCCAGTACGTTAAAACATATTTCTATGAGAATTTTCAAGACAAGCGAAATTTAAATAATTTAAGGTATTAAAAGTTAATTTTGTGACGAAAGATACCATTTTAAACTGACATCACAATTTGTCATCAACTAACTACAGCCCTATGTTCAGAACTATCGTGAAGGAAATATTGCTAAACTTGACTTCCATAAATCATTATTTAATAGCATTAAGTTAATCCACTTTTTAAAAAGCTCATATGTTCCACAACTTTTTGCAACTTCCAATTTAACTGATGAAAATGTCTAAAATTTCTCCATTCAATTCTTAAAATATATACAAATCAAATGGGTTTATGTTTTTTTCCGCATATTTTGAAAAATATCCAAATACTGATGCATGGTATCAAGGGCACTATATGGTTCCGGTTGTGCTTTTTGCAAAACTGCCGGTTTATCAGCAACATGATCCGGAAAAAAAACTGCTACAAATTCTTGCAAAAAGTTACCACACTGTGATGCTACGCAAGATGGTGCATATTCAACTTCAACAATAACACCTTTGCTAATTACACCCATCGAGGCATTCCCGGTTCGAATAATAAAATCTTGCAATGTATATTCATGTCCAGAAACTTCAAATTTTCCCGCAGTATCTTGTACCAATCCGGAACTAAGCTTTGCCAAAATACAATCAAATCCACGATCGGATATTGCTCTCGGACAATGTTTTTGCTTTTCATTCGGTGCTATTGTGAAAGTACTTTGCGGGAAACGTGAATGATGCAAGATAAATACATGATTGATAGCTCCTTGAACATTATCACTTGGTTTGAATGGTGTAGAATCAACCGTGAAAATGCCACCTTTAACACCACCTTCTCCTTCAATTGCACGTTCAATGCTAACAGCACTTTTGTCCGTTTCGAAAACCCAAGCAACGCCCATTTCAATCCTTTTTCCTTTTACTTTACAATCATAAAACGAAAAATTTCTCAAGCGAAAAAATCCTGAAAAAAAAAAATATACATTACATTTTTAATTTGGAAGAAAACAAATTACAATAATTGCTTTTTATTTTCAAACATTCATCAAATAAATTTCTAAAAAATATTTGGAGAAAATTTTAACATTCATATAATATTTGTGATATATAGAAAGAAAAAAATATTGATAAGAATATAATGAAAAGAACAAATATTATAGTATAACGTAAATAATATGCTTCATTTCTTCTTAAGCAATAGTTTCCTAACCAAATGTTCGATCCGACACCGAGAGAGAGAGAGAGAGAGAGGGGGAAAGAGAGAAAGAGAAAGGGAAAAAAAAGCTTTTTTTGTCCACTAGGATAGAAAATGGCGAGACTTAAAATAAACTTCAGTCTTACAAAAAAAAAAAAAAAATATATTACTTAAGATTAGTGGCAAAGACTATCAATTACCAACCAATTAATTTCCATTATAATCTGTAAATTTTAAAAGAAAATTCAAACAATAAAGTCTTATAGTTAATCATTAAATAAGAAACGTTAACAAGAGAGAAGCAAAATTTGTTCACAATTATATTTGATTACAATTATATTTAGATATATTTTCAATCATTACAAAAAATCTGAGATTTAAAAATTCAATTTATTTGATGAAATTTTTCCCCTTTTTTTTTTTTTTCTTAATGGATTTAATTTGACGATATTCTTATAATTTCGAACTAACGATTTATATCAACAATTAATTAACTTTAACATAAAGAAAAAAAAAAGGGAAAAATTAAAACGATATTTTAAAGCACTTAGTATTATAATAATGAGCTTGTGGAAATGTACTGAATAATATTTTCAGTCAAAATTGAAAAGTTATACAGAAAAAGTATATTATCACTAAATGTTAATTTGAATTTTAAAATTTTCAGTAAAACACAAAAACATAATATATCATTCATGTTATACACTATCCATCATCTACTATTCATTAAAAATTTCTCTACCACATTCCATTTTTAATTTTATACCTAATTTAAGCTTACTAATTATGCCTATTACTGCAACGAAATTAAAATATCTCAGTTACGAAAATTTTTATACTTTAATAAATTGAAAATTCTAAACAGTTAGCAATCTATACCACGTATGTTACACTACGTAAGAAAGTTATTATTATGATATGTATTACGATATCGTACAATACTTTTCGTTCTTTTTTTTTTTTTTTTTTTTTTTTTTTTGACTACAAAATTTAAATTATTTCTAGCAAACATTAGAAAATTTTTTTTTAAAAAAAAAGAATAATTGTAGGAAAGTAAAGAATGATAAGATTTCCAAGATAGTACACCTTTAGAGATTGATAAAATAATAAACAAACAGCTAATAGAAGATAAACTGGTATTTATGATATTAAAGACGAAAAAAAAGATACTACCGAAAAAAGAAAATGTTACGAAAGGAAAGAATTTGACAAAAAATAATGATTGAGATTGAAAGAAGAATGGTCAGAGATAAGGAATGATTACTGATAACAGAAGTTAACAACAGATAAGCTTCTTCTCCTAGCAATTTGAATATAAACCTGATAAATTCCATGTTGGTATTCAAGTTGCCAGAAGAAAAAAAATTACTTAAATACGTTTACATCGAGAGAATCAGTGTGTGGGAAGGGGTTGTCACCGAACTGGTGGCTTTTTTTTTTTTTTTAAAGTAAATTTTAAATTTAATCCTTCTTTTAATCTCCTAACAGTTTGCATATAACTCTGTTTATTATGATCAATTAATATTCAGTTTTTGATTGATTCATTTAATTCTCGATATTATATCTATTTGAATATTTAATTCTTTTTTTTTTTATTTAAAATATATTCGAATAATTTTTCGGTTGGTTTTAATTTCTGTTTGAGTTTGGTTCATTTTTCAATTAATTCATAGCTACCATTTTCTTTTTTCTTACAAGATAATTAATCGGTTAATCAGTTATCAGTCAGTTATTAATTAGTCAAGCAGTTCTTTCAAGCTATATGCAACTGCGGAAATATTACTTAAATTATGGTTCTGTTCGTTCATTTCTTCACTTTAAGCCATAATGTTGATTGCTGAATTTTAAATAAATTTTGGATTAAATCATTTTGGATTTTAAATAAATCCTTTTCTGATCAAAATTTATGATGATTTCCATTTTAAGAATGATATTTACTTAATGCTGCAGTTTGTTCCATTTATGTGCATTCTTTTTGCAGGAAATGAATGTCAGTAGCAAACCGGTGAAGGGTTTTCTTTTAGATATTACCGGTGTTTTATACAATAGTGATCCAAACACTATTGGACGTGTTATACAGGGATCAGTAGAGGCAGTTAATAGGTTTTGTATTCTTTTAATTAAAAAATTGAAATTTGTTGACTTAGTCTAAATATTGTTCTTATGCTTTTGTCTAATTCATGTTCTTAATCAGCGCTGTTTTAAAAAATTTGAAACCTGAATTGGATTTTGTTTATTTGCAATCAATAATATAACTCTTTTGATATATCAACTATCAAAATGTTAAAAAAATGTATTTAACTTACCAGCAAATTGGATAAAAAAATATTCAAACTTTTGATATTGTGAACATTCTGCATTTTTCAGTTACATGATTAAATGTTTATTGTCAACGTGGACATAATTTAAAATTGAAATAGAGAATACTATAACGTCTAAGTTAGCTTAGCTTAATAAAATATTTCTGTATCTTTTTTTCTAGTTACGAAGCAAATTTTCAACATTCGAGAAGAATTTCCACATCATAGAGATCGTCTAACTGGAACTTTTTGCATTTAGAACTAGAATTCTTGACTTTGCTAAAATTAAAAAATTTCAGATTGTATGCTGAAAGTGTAGTTCGATTTGTGACAAATGAAAGTACACGCAATCGTAAACATTTATTCGAAAAGTTGACAAAGCTTGGATTTACTCTAAATGAGGAACACATTTTTATGCCAGTCCCAGAAGCGAAGCGATACATCAAGGATAATAATCTTAGACCACATATACTGGTGCATAAAGGCATGTCGTAGAATTTTTATGTGAAATTTCATATTTTAAAACTTGAGTCACATTTCTTACATTCAGTTTTAGTTTTAAACGTTGAAACGTCTTTGCCGTTAGAAAAAATAAATTTTTAAATATTCACTGTGCATTTTATTCGAGGTGTTCTGGAGGAATTTGGAGATCTCAATACAAACCATCCGAATTGCGTATTATTGGGTGATGCTGAACGTGGATTTACTTATGAAACAATGAATGCTGCTTTTCGAGTTTTGCATGATACGGATGATCCATTGATTGTTACTTTAGGTTGTGGGTTAGTAATTTAGAATATATTGGACATAGTAATATATTAAATAGTCAAAGCATTATAATCCATTGCATTTTAATTTATTGTCACTAGATTCTTTATTCTTTCTTTTATTTTGTCCCTCTATGAATTTTTTTTTTTTTTGAAAAAAGTCCTAATATTTTTTGAATAGAACAAATTCATCACATCAGTGAAAAAAATTAATGATTGACAAGTATGTGATGGCACGCAATCTTGACAAAGAACTCCCAATAGTATTGAATATGTTAAGAATTTACATTCTGATTGAAAATAATTGTTAAATGGTTAGGAAGAAAAATGTTAAATGGGTTCATTTAGTTGCTGATGAATTTATTATAAAAGCTTTTTTTCCAGAAAATTTTATCAGCGAATGGATGGACCATGTATGGATGTTGGTGGTTTCACACGTGCATTGCAGTATGCATGTGATGCACGAGTTATTACTATTGGAAAACCAGAAGAGCAATTTTTCAAAGCTGCTATTGATGACATGGGTTTAACCACCGACGAGGTTAATATTATTTTCAAATTATTTTAGATTAAGCTATAATTTATCACTGTGTGATAAAATCTCACAAGTAATTTCCTATTATAGTTTGCTATATTACTTTTATTTCTCAGTGGTATCATATATTATTCTCTTCCTGTTTGTTTTCCTTCATCACCGATTCTAAATCCATCTAAATCCAATGAACATGTTTTGGATGTAGTTAACTGAAGTAAAATTGAAATTTGCTAAGAAAGAAGAACGATTTAGGTTGTAATGATTGGTGATGATATTGTGTCGGATGTTGGTGGGGCGCAGAAAGCTGGAATCAGAGGTGTACAAGTTCGAACAGGAAAATGGAGGTGATTGAAATAATTTAATAGAATTTCACATTCATATTTCTATGAAGAATTTAATGTTATATCTTCAATAATGGCTTTTATCGCAGAATTAGGTTGAAGCAAACACTTCACATATTCTTTTTTCACAGTGCTGTATTCCATTTTTCAGACAGTCTTGGATAAATCATAGCATTAAGCCAGACTTGCTGGCTGATGATTTACGATCAGCTGTGGATATGCTTCTGAAGAAAAAAACAAACTGAAATGCCTACATGTCTGCCACTGTGTGATGTGAAATATATTTTTTTCTTTTTATTACTTTTTTGATGTCAATAGTATTTTCAAAGTGAACTCAAATAAAATAAAATGTTTTATTTGAAAAATGTTTCTTCATCTATTAATTACATCTTATGTTTTAAAAGCAGTACAGTGAGATATTTAAAAAAAATCTTTTTTTGACAAATGAATTGCTACAGAGGAATGTGGCAAAGTTTAGTAGTTTCTGTGAAAATTGAAATATGAGTAACTTTAAAACACCTTTCATTTCTTTAATTAATTTGCCTTGCAGATTATAAATTAGTCTTTTTGTTTAATGTTTGCCATTATTTCAATTATTTAATTAAGCAACATTTTTATATTAATGAATATTTCATCACGTGATCTAATTTTACTTACTAAACTGTGCCACATTTCTTACAATGAAATTTCTACTGAAGATGTGAAGTCCTTATTCGTCAAACCAGAAAGAACATGAATAATTTATTTAAAAGCACTATTGTTATGGAATAGGAACTTTTGATTGATTTTACCTCATATTATAATAAAACTTCCTAAAATGATTATTTATGCTTAGCTATGGGATGCAATGTCTTAGATTTAACTTGATTGGTTAAAATTATTCTAAAATAAAAGACTTAAATAATCACATGTTAGGTCATAATGAATTTAATTATATTTTAGCATTGTAAGCTTCGAACGGTACAATACAAAATTTAAATGAGAACTATTCCGCTCATTCATTTATTCCTTTAACTTCCAGTTCCTAAGAAAATACCTCCTTTTTTCTGTATTAAATTATTTGTCATGTTTTATCCAAATCTTCGAAACCCAAAACTTCATTTTAATATTATTAAGAAACAAAATACTTTTGTCTGGTAAGATTTCTATATGATTTTTTTGGTATTTTTTCCAAAAAAAAAAAAAAAAAAAAGTAAAAATTTAACATCTAATAAATTTAATATTTTTTAAAAACAATTCCTTCAACATTTCTTTTTTCCAATAATATAGTTCTTTTTCAAAGATTTAACAACATTTTTTGAAAATATCTAAACAGTTGTTGTGTTTAACAGTTAGTTTAACTTACTACGTATTATTATTATTATATATTGCAACCATTTGCTTGTTTACAACATAGTTATTAACTTTTCTTAACTATAACTATCAGATATCAGACATTGACAATAATAATAATAATAACAATAATAGTAACAGCAATGGTGATGATAATGAGTTTAACAATGCAAAAAATTTTTTCCTCATCTTATTGCTATCAGTATTTCCAGTAATCAGTAAAAGAGGTTGCTTAATTTTTCAAAAATTTTTTTTTTAACAGTATTAATAAGTTATAACTTTAATATGAACCAATGGATTTCACTCAATTGCATGTGCTCATTTGATGTCATTTTTTGCTTTTTTTTTTTATTTTTTATTTTTCATTAAGAGACAAAAATTGAAGGACAAAAGTGTTTGAGTATAAAATGCTTTATAAATAATAAAAATAAAAGAAAAAAAAAAGAAAGATACAGCACTGCATCGTATCGTTCAGGTGCATAATTTCAATTTAATACCGTATTTTTTAACTTATAGTTGGCATTCATCTCAATTTGCTACTGTAACATCTATCGTATACCATTAATACTTTTCTTCTTTTCACTTCATGATATCAGAGTAAGGAATGTTATGAAAATAAACATAACGAAAATAAACATGATAATAATTCGGATGAATGTTCAATACCGTAGTATTTCATTTGGATACCGTAAGCAGCTATTGTATATTGTCGATAATTTATTTAAATCATTTCAATTTTGTTAATATCATGATATTTCATACCATAACAATCATAAGCTAATCATAATAATTCTGAAAAATATTTGCATAATTTTAATTTCTATGCCTTTTTTTATGCAAATATAAATTTTGTGCATCTAAAACAATTTGAGATGCATTTAATCATAAATAAAACAGCTGTCATAAACTAAAATTTTACTAAGTTTACTTGAGACTTGTGATCTCTCATCATACTCCACCCATCTTTTCTTGTTGCTAGAATAAAGCTAGAAAAACAAAAAAATGTCTATCAGAATTTTCTTTTTTAAAAAAAAAATCGAAAATGTTTCAAATTTTCAAAAAAAAAAAAAAAAAAAAAAATTTTGAGAGTTGAAGAAAAAAATGATTGTCAATAATAGTTGATATACTACTATATCTAATATGACTTACCGTACCATAACATTAATTCCATTTAATCAATTTTTTAATAATTCAAATATACATATGTAATGCATATAAAATAATTAATTAATCAATTAATTTCGTTTCAAAATATTATTTCATTATATTTTTCACTTGAATTTGCATTAATTCCATTTCATTTCATTGTGTTTTTGTTTTTGTTTTGCATTTTGAAAAATAAACACACTTTTCATCCATTGCTAATTCACAAATAGACGCATTTTTCAACATTTTTTTAAAAAAAAAAAAAACATGAGATCATACGAAAATGAAAAAAGAAAAAGAAAAAAGATGAAACATTACAAGCAAATAAAGAATATTTGATAAAAAAAGAAAAAAAGAAGAAAAAATAGCACATCAAAAAAGTGTAATAATGAATGGTATGGCAAGAAAAATAAAAAGACTATGAAGAAATTAACGTAAATTTACATACTTTTCTTTTATATTTAAATCAAAAAAAAAAGAAAAAAAGCAGAGGGAGAGAGAGAGAGAAGAGAGAGAAATGAATAAAATATAAAAAAAAGTTTAGAAAATTTTAAATTTAGCCAAATTATATGGCACATTTCATTGAAGAGGAAATAGAGAGAGGGAGAGAGAAAAAGAAAAGATAAAGAAAAATAAAAGATAAAAGAATAGAATGAAGAGAAAAAAAGACATCCGTAGCATAGAAAAATTTTTTTGAAAATAATCGATGCGAATATATTTTTAATTCAAAAAATTTTTTTCTTTGTTACTATGAAAAGTTAAAATTAATTTGAAAATTTTTCAACGCTTTATTTTAAATTTAAAAATTTAATTGAATTAAAAGTATATGCGACCTCCTTTTTTTTCACCATTTTTAAAATAGTATAAAAAAAAAATTGTCCGTTATATTTTACTTTATTAATATAATTGTTTTGTTAGAAATTTAGAGTTAATAAATTTTTTTTGTAAATTTGAACAAGAAAAAAAGGCTTGAAATAATTTTTCAATTTTTCTCGAAATTAATCAATATTTTATCAAATTTAATTTGTTAAAAAAAATAAGTTAATAAAATATTTCCCATCAATAGTTTCTGATATTTAATAATTTCAGTTGTAAAAGATAAGACTTAAATTTACTACGGATGTTTGCAAATTTGTGTTAATTAAAAATTTTGAGAAAAACTATTGGCATGAAATAATTTTTTTGTATCATATTAATAAATATTCTAAGAGCTTTTACAACGAAAGCGATAAAATTTGATTATTTCAGAAAAAATATCATAAAGAAAAATAAAAGGGAAAAAAAAAGAAAAGAAAAGAAAAGTAGAAAGAAAAAGGGAGGAAAAGTAAAAAAGAAAAAAAAGAAATAAAAATTTTTAATTGACTAGATTGTCCATACCAAAGATTAGCTGTTTGTTTAATTAATTAATTAATTATTATTATTATTATAATATATTAAAGGAAAGAAAAACGAAAAATGTAAAAAAAAAAAGAAATCTAATTTGATTAGAAATATTAGAAATGATAATTCGAATTTAATACAATGAATAATAAGTATGTAATTATAACGATAATAATAATATTAATAGTAATAATAATAAAAATAATAATAATACTCATCTAGCAAAATTTAAAATTACATTTAGCAACAAACACAAATTACATTACACATTCAATTATTGACAATGATACATATTCATTGTTTGAAAATTTTTCAAATAAAAATCAAATACTTATTTAGAGGTAGAATAGTAATCAATATTTTGCCCCAAATAAAAAAAAAAAAAATTATTGATACTTTGGTATTTTTCTACAAAAAGCACTTATAATTTAATGATATCAACTTCTTATGATACTAAAATACTTGAATTAATTGCTAATATTACACTTTTCAGTTAGAAATAAAATATGAACGATTTGAGAATTATTTTTAAAAATTAATATTTAAGAAAAATTTCTGATATAAAGTTTCTTTTTTCGTTGATAAAATTGTAATTAAGTAGAGAAAATACCTGAGAAATATACGGGGCTGAGAAGAGTATATGTTATTAATAGTGGTAATAATAATAATAATAATAATAATAATAATAATAATAATAATAAAATAACAGCAATAATAATGTTATCAACATTATAATTATTACTCAAATTGAGAGAAGCATATGAGAAAACATTACCATTTCGTTTAAATTGAAAAAAAAAAAAGACATCAAATGAAAATAAATAATATGTAACATAAATAAAACTACTTGGCATATAATAATAATTTCTATCTCTCTTTATCTTATCTTTGCTCATACTTTTTTTTTTCTTATTATTTTTGTCAAAAAATTAAAATACTTCGATAAAGATATTTTAAAAGTTTTTTTTTTTTAAAAAAGTTAACTTCTCATTCTCTATTAGTGTAAATTAGTTGAAAAACGGTACCAAGAAAAGGAAAAAATATCATCATCATACAAAATTAATTTCATTAGTAAAATGAAATTGTTTTTTTTTTTCTTGAAATGAATGATTGTTCTGTTAAAACTTTTTTTTATAAAAAAAAAAAAAAAAAACTTTTTCTCTTCCCTTTCTACTTTATTATTCTGTTTTTGTTAAAATATACCAAAAAAAAAAAAAAAAAAAAAAAAAAAAATTTTGTTTTTTTTTTTCAAACGGAAGACTCGCTGAGCATTGCTTTGACTGTTTTCAGTTGCTCACAAGCTTCCTCCCTGAACCTTGTTACGGATGAATTAATTCCGGTTTGTAGTTGAACCAATGTATAAATACTGTTTAATGCCATTTCCAATTGCTTCTCTAATCGTCCAACACGTGTATCCAAACCAGTCAATAACTGAAATTTTTCATTTTTTTAAAATTTTCTTCCTTTTTCTTTTTCTTCTTGCTTAGTTCAATTTTTCTTTTTTTTTTTTAATAAAAAATGAAAAATTCATAAGCAAAAATTTACCAGTACTAAAAAAAGATAAATAATTTAGCTATTTAATAAGAAAGAAATTACCTGCTCAACACGTGCCGTACTTTGAGCTGATCGTAATTCACCGATCATTGATTTAATTTCCTTAATTTCCTGATGAACCGGTGCCGATGAAGGATTTTCATTCTGAGAATTTCCTGGTTCGGCTGAAGTGCCACAATCAGAGCACTTTTCAACCTGATCATCAGATGAAATTGAACTACCAGGTGGTGGAAAGCCATGATTCAGTGTCATATGCACTTGTAATGATGAGCCTAAGAAATTGAAATCATATCAATATTATGGTTATCAAATTATCAATTAATATTATGATTATCAAATTATGAGTTATAATATTGTGATGATCAAATTATCAGTTATAATGTTATGACTTGATCGTTTCTATTCATTCAGATTACTAAGCTAGAATTCCTCTCTGTTCATTTAATTAAACTTTTTTTTTTTAATTTAATTTATTAAATGAATAGATTATCTTATCAAATGGATTGATTTGTGTCCAGCATATGTGATTGTGATGTGATATGATTTTATTGCATTGCAATTTAAATGTTATCTCATTTATAAGAATAAAGTTTTACTCTCCATTATGATTATCTTGCTTGAGATAAATACTTTTCAAACCACAGAAATAACTTTTTGTCTATCTTTCAAATTATTTATATGAAAATTTTTGTTTTTAAAATTGCTATTATTTATAAATAAATTTTGGTATAAGTCAATGAGAGACAAATAATTTGATTTTGTTTAGAATACTACTTATAAAGGTACCATTTAATGAATTGTTGATTGAAATTGATTAAGAATTAATTACAACCACTTATTTTTTTCTTGATCAGATTTTATGTATTGCAACAATTTCCCTTTTTTAATTGTCTTAATTTTTTTTTTTTGTGCTCATATAATTTTCCGGAATATTCTTAAATGGTGGTTCAGAATATCCTCACATACCGCATTCTGGAATGCCTTCATATAATTTTTCAAAATGCTATTATGCAGTCTTTCAGGATATTCACACATAATTTTCCGGAATATTCTCATATGGCCTTTCAGAATGCTCTCAGATAGTTAGTTACTCGGAATGATATGAATTATTTCTAATGTAAAAGGAAAAAAACAAAAAAAGAAGAAAATGAAGGGAAAAAGCTTTTAGCGAATACTCTAAGTTTTTTTTCTTTTTTAAGTATTTATAATAACTTTTACTTTATCTAAGAACTGCAATCTTTAGAAAACGGAAAAAAACAAATCTATAAAGAAACCTTTACGGAAATGTTTGCCACATTCCGGACATTGAGTTCGTGTATTATTAGCCATATGAGCGATCAGTGAGGTAAGATGCTCGTTAGTACTAATATTGTTGAGCGGTGATGACGTACCCTCGTCACAATCCAATTCACCACCGCCCATTCCAGTATGTTCATCTATCATCGGATCGACAGCCGGTTTCTCGCCTATAATCTTCTGTATAAATTCCGTTTTAGTTCATGCTTCATTAAATTACTAAATTAAAAATAAAATTTGTCATTTAATGAATACTCAATGAAAACAAAAAAAAAAAAATTTTTTTTTTCTTCCTTTCTTTTTTATTAAAACTGAAAACGGAAAATTGTAATAAAATTCGATTATTTGTTTCTTTTTTTTTTTTTTTTTAATATTTTTAAATGACATATAAAAAGTTATTCATCATTTTTGCATTAGAAAAAAAGAAAGAAAATTATTATTAGCATGCATACAATATATTAATCAAAAAATGTTTTTGATTTAATTTATGAATTACATATCGAATTAATGAATAATTTCATCTTATTTCCTCATATCCATTTCTAATTTCAATTTTAATCAGTCAAAAAGCCTTGAATCTTTCCATCACTTTTTCAATTCTTTTTTTTTTTTTGCTTATTTTCAGGCATTAATAAAAAAAAGAAACAAACATAATTATGCATAAATTAGTAAGAGTAACGAGCAATGCTAATAAACAAATGAATAATTAGGTGCCATCATCAATAACATAAACCTATGCATTCAATTATCAAATTAATAATGTTTATATTTCTCAACTATTTCAATATTATATAAATTCGAAAAAAAAAAAAAAATGAAATCTTAAAAAATTTCATCTAAATTTAGCAAATTTTGTCAGCAAAAAAAAAAATTCTTGTTTAAACAAAGCAAAAAAAAAAAAAAATTCGCATTTTATTTAAACAAAAACAAAAGAGCTCTTTTCAAATTTTGTAGAATAAAATGAAATTGGTTGAAAAAAATAAATAAATAAAAGAACACTGTGATATAGTGTATAAAATTGAAACTATGATAGCTAAGTATTTTTGCTTGATGGAAGAAACTGTTATAAAATAAAATAAAATAAAATCTATTCTAAAATTTATTTTACAGAAAACAGAAATGGTGAGAAAAAGAAAAGAATTGATTCTGTTGAAAAATTAAACTCAGATTAGAAAATTCAATTCTCGCATTTGAGCTAAACAATTAAATATAAAATAATTGCAAATTTTAATCAGAATTTTCTTTCTTTTTTTTTTTTTTTTTTCATCAAAAATGCAAATAAATTATGTACTTATGGTACAAATTTATCAGAAATACTAACAGAGAAAAAGAAAAAGTGACATCACTGTGTATCTTTTTAAATAATTCAAAATTCAATTATCAAAAAAGAAAACTTTTTGGTAAGTAAAACATTTCAAACTTAGCATTACAGACGTCTTTAATATCTCTCAATTAGCATCTGTTTTAAATCAAAATTTTTCACTAATGTTCTGATGTCATCAACTTACCTACATATAAAATCAGTCAATTTACCTTAAAAAGTCAACTTTTTTTGCAAAAAAAAAAAAAAAAAAGTTGAAAGTACTTTTGGAATTGAAAACCAAAATGATAATAAAATTTGCATAACTAAAATGATTTAAATTCTTCATACTGTAACTTACGTTATCATAATTCTTGGTTAAAATTAGACCGAACAAAAATTAAGTCAAGCATATCTCAACTTTTTAATTATTGCACATTTTTATAAATATTTACTTTACTTTAAATTACCTCTTACGGATTGATTTAACAATTACAAAGAATAAATCCTTCGTTTACTATTATTTTTTTTAAAAAATATTTTAAGCACTCTTTTATTGAAATGACATTTACATTTATAACGTTTATCCTTTAATCTAAATACTCGGTGAAATACTATAATAATAGAATATTGTAATGCTGTTGAATAGATTCCTTTTCAACAGAAAATGTTAAATAATATTTTATTTTATGATTGTATCAATGAGAAATAGAAAATATATTCTTCAATCATATGCTAATTTATTATTAAAAATAAGTTTTATTAAGTTAATTTATAACAGATCAAAATATTTGATATAATCATAACAACAATGCATTTTGTTCTAATTTTCTAATTTTTATATATCTCATTTTGTTTCATTTTTATTCTAACTTAGTCTAAAATATTTACTCTATCCCAACTAGATAAGCCTAAACTTTATTGAATTCTAGTTTAGCTAGCTTAAAACTAATCATATATTTATCACTTTCTAATCTATCAAATCATTAATTCTCTTATATTACGATCCTAATTAAACTTTTCACGCTTACAATTTAATTCTTAATTATTTCGAATTTACAAGTATTAACCTTTATCACTTATTTAACAATAAATTTATTATTGAATTGAATTATCCTTCAATTCATTTTAATCCTTCTTAATTCCACTATATTTAATTATTTTCATGTTTATTCATATGTATAAATATTTTATTTTACTTCCTTCTTTGTCCGTTTAATGAAATTACAAAATAGAATAAAATTTTCATTAGCGTTTGCGAGAAATTATAACAATCGAATAAAGTGATAAAATGATATCTTTCAGCTCATACTGTAAGCTTTTTGCCATTATTTCATTTGTACCACTGTATGTTTCTAAATATAGCTGAAATATACTGTAAACTTTTAAATTCTTATCATTTCAATTTTTATAAAATTTTTTCTCGAACATATCACAGATATCTTCTTGCTTTACTTCAACCTTTGAACCAATACTGAGTGAATGATAAGAAATAAGGAGAGAGAGAGACAAAGAGAGAGAGAGACCAACAAAAAAATAGTATTCTTATCATTTATTCCAATTATTTATCAAATGTACGGTAATGTGGAAAAGGTATTGAGTATACTGTAAATCTATGAAGACAGCTTAGAATAAATAGTTATGCTGAAAATTAGTTTAATTTTGTTAATCCTAGAATGTTACTTCTCCTATTTCCTCTCTGATTAAAAAGATTTATTTTTATAAATTTATGTTTTCATTTATTCAAATCTTACAATATCATGTTTTTTTTTTTTTTTTTTTCTTTTTTCATATTGATAACTAATAATGTGAATAAACAAAAACTTTTTGTACTTTCAAATGTAATTTAGAAGATTCAAAAAAAAAAAAAAAATTGAAAAAAGAAGTACAGTTTATTTTCGTTTAAAAAAAAGAGAAGCAAAACAAAAACATAATAAAGCAAAATAATGATAATTTTTTTTTCTTTTTCTTTCAAAAAATTTCTATCATTTTATCATCAAAAATTTTTTCTTTTTCTTTTCTTTGTTTTGCACAAAAATAATAATTTTCCCTACAATAATCACTTAGATCATATGAAACAAAAAAGAAAAAACCATGAGAAAATTTCAATTATTTTATCATTCTTAAAATTTTACATATATTTATCATTTCTAACATTACTGATATTAGGAAAAAAAAGAAGAAAAATAATCCCAATTAATTAATTAATTAATTATATTTTATTCTTATTTTAATGATCATCTTGTAAAATTTTAGTTTATTATTTCAAACATTACTAATATTAAGAAAAAAAAAAAAAAAAAAAAAAAGGAAAAATAATCTCAATTAATTAATTAAACTTTATTCTCATTTCAATGATTATCCCTTAAAATTTTAGTTTATTTATGCTTATCATAAGCAATGTTGTAGCATTATTATCTTAAAAGACAGACGATTACAACACAACAATGACGAATGAACCGAAGAATGGCGGCACGGCAACAATGCCAATTGCAGTTTATTACAATAAAATGATTGTTCGGTTTCGTTTTAAATTTCGTTTCATTTCATTTCATTTCAAAGAGCTTTTAACTAACTATTTCAACGATTCAAATTACACATTAGCACAGTACAAAAGTTTTAAAGGAAGTCATTTGAAGTTAAGTGAAAAGTCATTTGATAAATTCATTCAGTTAAATCCGATAGCGTAATAGTATCATCTACACTGATTACATAACTATATATACATGTCAAGTATGTGTATGTGTATATCTGTGTGCATTAATGTAAAGTTGTATTATCATGATAGTGAAAATTGTAATAATAATAATATTAATTTAACTTAATTTAATTTAAAAGTATAAGTATAGTAATATACTTCAATTATAAGTATATATTATAATGCATTAACTTATATTTAACAATTATAAATGAGTAATAAAATATTATAATCGAATAAAAAATTTCCTTTCCGTTTTTTTCCTTTCTAATTCTTAATTGAAAATATGAATGTAATAAGTTAGTTTGGTATTAAAAATTGGAAAAAAAAAATTCAAAGTGGTAGATGAAGAAGAAATTAAAATAATTAATTGACAAATAGAATTGCATATAGGATTTTATACTAATGTTAAATTTGAAATAGTTTAAAATCATGATTTATACAAAAGTAATTATACTTATTCAAGAGATGGAAAGCATGCAAGAGATCTGTTAAAATTATAATTGTAATAATTTTAGCAATATATTAAATTTTTAATTACTAACCATGAACCGTAAAAATGGATTCTTCCTCAGGTGAAGTTGACCTGAGATCCATGCTGCCCGTATCAAGGCCAAGAGACATAAATATTGAACGACCCTTATCATTCTCATCATCCATTGCTTCCTAAAAATTATCATCTTTTATAAAGTTTGAAATTAACTAAAAAAAAAAAAAAACAGTTAATTTCATAATTCAAATAGGACCACTTAGTTTCAATTAATTCAAAAATAAATTTAACAAGCAGAAATAAAATTACATCTTTCTGTGCGGGTAAATTAAGCGGATTCTCTGAGGTACCGGAAGTCAATACTATCATGGATTTTTCGAGGAAATCAACAGCTGCGGGATCTTTCACCGATTTTTTACCCTGTAATTAATTCACACTACAGTTTTGAGTATCCTCAGTTTGCAATTGAAAAAAAAAAAAAAAAAAAACGATTTAAAGTTTCATTTAAAAATTTCTCTAACCTATGGGCAAAAAGATTTGATTTATTATAATTGAAAATTCTATCAAATAAATTCTAACTTAAAGAGCCAAACCTTTTTAATTATAATATCATCTTTACCAATGTAGGCATTCTGCTCTTGTTTGTGATGTTTCAAAATATGTTTCGTTAAATTTCCTGAAACACAAAATTTTTAGTTATTCAGTTATTTAAAGATGCATAATATAACATAAATTAACCTGACAAATTTGATAAAATAAAAATTATCCGAAATTTATTACTGAAAGAAACAAAAATGAGAATAATTATTCTTAGCAGATTGACCAAAATAAGTGTTTAAAAAAGTTTTAAAAAGTAAAAAAGAAAGAAAAAATAATTGAAGTTCCATTGATATATTTCAAAATATCTTTTCGTTTTTTTTTTTTTTTTAAGAATGAAATATTTTTTTTATTCTGAACAATTATTTTAATGATTTTATCAACATAAAATTTTCCGTTTCTTATTATTCATCATGAAATGATGCAAAAAAAAAAAAAAAAAAGAAATTTCGAAAAATAAATTTGAATTTTTTTATATTTATAAAAGTAAGATTTCACTAATTGATTACAGCAGATTTGTGCAATAGGAACAAGCTGTAGCACATAGAAAAATTGAACTGTATGATTAATTAATTTATCCTTAGACTTAACTAATTAACTATTTTTTTTTTTCTGTCTAAATTCATACTGCAAAGATTATCCGTTCAATTTACGTAATATAAATGTATTACAGCAAAAGAAAGAGCAGATGTTACACAAATGAATCACATTATATTTGAATTTCACTTTTAAATTATAAATTTACCAATTAAAAAACTACAAATGTTGAGAAGAAAATTGAATTAAAAGAGCCATACAAAGAGTAAATTTAAAAAAAATTGCATTTAAAAATATCGCTTATCTGATAGTTTGATCAATGCAAAAGAGTAGTTTTAGCATTGGTTAAACTTGTAAAACTTATATAATGAATATTAGAAATGAAATATTTAATTATCAATAAAAAGAAATGTTAAATTTAGAGAAAAAAAGAAATAAAAATTGAAGTAATTCAAAAATACTTTCTGAAAAGAAATAAATAAAAATACTTCATAAATCACAAGCAAATTGTTGGCATTCATTTAATGATTAATTAACAAACTAATATGATAATCTAATCATTTCCATTAATCAAACCTATCTAATCATCAATAAATGTTTTTACATAAAAATTTACTGTATGATAAATAGAAACGAATACAATAATTACAATATTATTAGAATTTGATAGTATAATGCAATTTAGTAATAACTAAAATTTATTAATTTATAAGTATACGATGCTGCGATATAAACTATATCATTACTGAAATTCACTAAATGTTAAATAAAAATATACTTTTAAAGTATTTGAAATGGAAATATATATTATCTATTATTAATTGTCATTTTCAATAAATTAATTATCATTTTCATTTTCAATATATTAATTATCATTTTCAATAAATTATCATTTTCATTTTCAAATATATTAATTATCATTTTCAATAAATTAATTATCATTTTCAATTAGTTTTTTCTTACTTCTTTTTTCTTGTCTACTTGTAAAATTGTCACGACTGTCAAAGAATAGATCACGTGCTTTAACTTTATATAAACATATATGTTTTAATAACATTCATTTCAAATAATAATTAATAATAATAATAATAATATATTATTATTATTGTTATATTTCCATTTATATATTATTATAAATAAAATATATTTATAAATAAAATGAAAAAGATTATAGAATATTTAAAATCTTAATTATTTAATCATTATAATCTAACAAAATATATTATACAAACAAACGGATTATTAAGAAAGACTTGTAATGGCATTAATCATTAAACTTTATTATCGATTAAATTATTGATCGGCAAATTAAGCTTGAAATTTTATATGCAATTTTACAAATAATTTATTATGTTTTCAATGAAAAAGAACAAAGATCATTGTAGCAGAATAAATTATCGTGTAATTGATCTATCATTCGTAAAATCAAACAATAAAACAAAAAGAAAGAAAATTTTTATTATTAAACATATTTTTTACTAATTGGAACTAATTTTTTTTCTACAATAAATTTATGAATAAATAGAGAATATAAGATAAGTTTTATTTTTTGCATTTCTTTCTCCCTCTTTATCATCTTTTTTATCACATTTCATACATATAAAATTTCTTCCATCTTCCTTACATTGTTTCTAAGTGTTCATTTAAACGATGACAAAGTCCAAATCTCTTATCCGGTCAACAAACATTATTATCACCAACCAAATGCAGGTATAATAAAATAAATACAGGTTTCGAACAGAAATTTCTCTTTCTTCCCGATTATCATTGAAACCATTTCCCTTGTCCACCACCACCTCCTCCTCCTTTTTCTCCTCCTCTTCTATCATATTCATCACTAACCCAAAATATTTGATAGTACTTTCTACAAATGATGACCGTTTTGTCCTGTCCTGTCCTGTCCCTGTCCCTGTCCCTGTCCCTGTCCTGTCTTTCGTCTCATGGTAGTGGTTATTGTCATCACCAAAATGACCGAAGGCAAAAATTTTTGCATGATGGTAGTAAGTAAATGCATGAATGCAAACAAGGAATATAGAAGGAAGGAAATATAGTAGATGAAAAATTGTAGACAAAGGATAGGAAATAATCACCTGTAAATTGATGAAAATTATCGTTAAATTCTATTCTTTCATCTCCTTTGTAAATTTACAAAATTATGCATACTTTTAATAATTCTTATTTCTTTAAAAATATTCATTTTCAGTTTTATTTAATTAAAAAGAAAAGAAAAGAAATTACAAAAAATTAACTATTACTATTATCATTATTTCATATTTTTTTCATTCTTAATTTCATATACCAAAAAAAAAAAAAATATCAACTGATCATTTTAACCAACTTTCGAGGAGATATAGTAGATGAAAATGTAGACAAAGGACAGAAAGACAAAAGATAGACAATCGATGACAATCATTTATGAATGAAAATGACTGTCATCAATACTATCAATTATCAACTATTTAAAGAAAAATAAAAAAAAAAAAAAACGAAAATGCTTCTAAGATATTCATTTAGCATTTTATCTATTTTCTTTCATCAAAAATATTAATCTTCCCCGATCATCTTCAACTTTCTTTTACTATTTACAACTATTATTTTACTTGTTTCTTCCCTCTCTCTCTCTCTCTCTCTCTCTCTCTCCGTATTTCTGTCATCAAAAAGGGGACACACTGTTGTAGTAGAACATTTTGATAATGACAATTCTTATTTACAAAACCGGATATACCGATATATACTGGTGAGAATATACAAATTTGATTACATGCAATAAATTGCACAAAAGGCGAATGCACTGTACTTTTCCTCCTACCGATTATTAGTAAATAAATAAATAAATATATATATACATGCTTCTCTCTCTCTCTCTTTATGTTTGATTATTTCATAAAATTATTTTTCAAAAAAAAAAAAAAAAATTAATGGTCATAAAATGTACAAGCATATTTAATATTAGTCAAATTTTGAAATAGTTAAAATTTAAAAAAAAATTTTGATTTTTCAAATATATATAATTAATTATTCATTTTATTTTACTTATTCATTATTCATTTTCTATTCCTATCAATTAATATTGATAGGAATAGATATAATTCGTGATTATTTTACATTTTTTTTTCTTTTAAATACAAATAATTAAAAAAGTAAATTATTGACATTTCATATAAAAATCTAATATATCATTTTAATTAAATACATACATATTTTGTAAATGATTTATTATTAATATCATGAGAAATGAAGAAAACAAAAAAAAAATTCTTTTTTTCTTTTTATTAATAAATTAATGTAACAATTACAGTTATACTTATTTATTTTACTTCTTTGATGATTAATTAATTAATTAAAAAATTTACTTAAGAAGTTTTTTCTAAAATAATGATTTCATTCATTTATTGATTCATTTAAAAAGATATTATTATTGTTATTACTACTACTACTGCTACTACTACTACTACTATAGAAAGAGATTTGAATTGAGAAAAATCCGGTTCATCTTCGATTCCTTTTGAATAGAGCTTATTTACTATGACAATTATCATCAATATAGTTAATAATGGCAATTTCTTATTGCTGATCATTTTCTAATAACTCTTCTTTACTATTGTCCTAGCAAACATTTTACTTTTGGTTAGTTTAATGTATGGAAAATGTTAAGGAAAAATGATTGTAACAAATGATAATCATTACTAAATGATTGTAATGATAATGATGATAATAGTAGCAATCATTATGAAAAGAGTGATAAGGTTTGAATGATAGAAATGATGATAATAATAACATTATTGCTACTGATAATGATATGATGATGATGATAAATAACTTCAAAATATTACAAAAGAAGCAGATTTTAAAATGTGATTTAAAAATTTTGCCGACAGCAACTTTTACAAAGCAAAAAACTATTTTAATGAAAAGTTTAATGAAAAAAAAAATCATTCCAGTTACAATTTTGATTTTGTAATTTGAAAGAAATGTTAGAATTACTTATTTAAAAAGTTTAATACTAATAATTGAAATAACATATTGGTTTATAATAATTTGCAAATATAAAATTATATCATTATTATATAAAATATTAGAGTAAAAACATACAGATTAATTGTTAACCACTAGTTGTTTTAAACATTTGAAAGTGTATGAATTTGCAAACTTTCATTCTTTTTAATTGTTGAAGTTAATCATCTAGACAGTGATAATTAAATTATCAAATAATCAAGGAGTATAATTAAGTAAGCATACAAAGTAGAAATAAACATCAAATCTTGATATATTAAAGATAATTAAAAAAAAAAAAAAACAGGATAAAAGTTTGCAAATTAAACTTTAATTATTACAGTGATATAATTGATACATTAATATTTTTGGTTACATTTTGCAAGAAATACAAACTAACCAGAAAGTGTGAAATAACAAAGACAAACTGAAAATGAATTTTAAAATTCATTCAAATTAGATGTGATTAAAAAAAATTCTTCAAAAATTCTTCAGGATACCCACCAACAAATTAGCTTAAAGATTTAAAAGTATTGGTCAAAGTTCAAATTCATATTTTAGTAAGTGTTAGAATTGAAAAATCGATTCCAAAATAAGTATCGATAAATGATTGATAAATTATTATCTATAAATTAATCAGTGCTGAATGATGTGGAAACGATAAATTTAAATAAAACGAAATTATTAATAATTTACTTTTACAATTATTAATAATTGTAAAAGTTTCCACCTTACTCAATTTTTTTTTTTTTTTTTTTTCATTCTTTTTCTTTCTCATATATTTTGTTCTAATAATAGAAATAAATCAAACTGAATTTATTGAGCGATTTAACAAATTCTTCACAACATCTTAAATTTAAATCGATATTACTGAAAGTAAAAATTAATTACAATATAGTATGTATGCATAAGTAATTTGCCATCAAATAACGAATATTTAATGAATTATAAACTAACTCTCTGCTATATAAGTGTAATTACTATTAAAAATTTGATAATTTCAAATTTATTTTGCAGCTGCAAGAAAAAGCCAAAAAAAAAAAAAATCAGCGCAAATCTCTGTGACAACAATTTAAGAGAAAATCTAAAATATTAAAGAAAAGCATTTTCAAATTTAAGTTGGATAAAAAGGCAAAAAAAAAACATAGTTATTAAGAAAAGATGAGAGAAAAATTGACAATTTTCTAAATAAACTGCTTACTTTTGTTTTGACTAAAAAAAAAAAAAAAAAGTTGAATAAGCTGAAAATTATAAAAAGTCAACAAAGAGAAAAAAAAAAAAACAATTGTAAAAAATTTTCAATTCTTTTTTTCAAAAATGTTTAAAATTCTTTTTGTTTTTTTTTTGTTTTTTGAAAATTAAATTAAAAATAAGTTTCTCTCTTTTTCGTTCATTGAAAGTTTGAAACAAGAAAGAAAAAGAAAAAAGAAAAAGAAAAAAGAAGAAAGATTTAATTTTCATGGACAAAGCTAAACAGCTAAAATAGAAAATAAAGAATATTTTCTTTTTCTTTTTTTTCTTTTTCTACCTAATTACATATATGTTAATTGTTTGCATTAATTATTTATTAGTTATAATTCATTTAATTATTTTTGTTAATTGTGTGTTTACTGCTTTTTCTTCTTTGTTACTCCAACTGTCTAATCAGTTCTTCTGTGTGAATTTTGTTATTATTTGTGAGTAAACAAGCTAATCTAGTTTACCAGTGGAAGTAATCAATGATGAAAGTTGCTTAGGCGAAATAAAGCAGCAAACAGCCCGCGGGTAGAATAAAGATACGTTACGGGCGGGTAGGTACTGTTTTATCAATACTACCAACAGATCGTTTCCATTCATGTCCGCTTTTATTTCATTTCATTTCTACTTTATTAAATTGAATATGTGCTATCCGAAATAAAAGAAAAAAAAAAGAAAGAAAGAACACTCTTTATTTAATTATGATAAAAAGGAAAAGAAGAAAAATGATAGATTTCATTTACATAAATTAAGCAAAGTGATAGATTTGACAGGAAGACAAGAAGGATGAGGAAAAATTTATGTGAAATCGAATAAATGATAGCAAAACGAATTTACACATTGAGAAAATCTGATCAGTTTGCATTTTTTCAGGTAAAATTTTAAAATTTTATTCAATTTATAAGTTAAAAATTGTCTGAAAAAATGAAAAAAAAAAAAAAAAAAAACGAAATAAAAAATAATATCAGTAAATAAAAATGCATTCAATGAAATTTATGAATTAATATTCTCCGTTTTTCAAATTTATTAGTAAAGATTTTTAATATGCAATTAAACATGCTAATGCATATATGAGAACTAGAAATATCTATGTTGCTTTTCATTTAAATAAATCAAGAAGAAAAAATTTGAGTATTATTAATGGCATTCGAATACTAGAAGTTTAATTGAGCTAATATATTCTCAAATTATCAGAAGTTTAGCATGAATTAATAATAAAAAAAAAAAAAAAAAAGGAAGAAAAGTAAGCGTTCATCTAAAAAAATATTTAATTAAATTTATTCAAAATTATTTAAAAAAATAAGAAAGTAAGTGTTTAGTAAGTTATAATAGTGAAAGTACCACTTCTATTATTATCATTTTAGGTTTAATCAATCAATATGAAAGAATATTTTTTTAACTTTTCTAACATTTGTCAATTTATTGAAACATTTGACAAATGCATAATTAAGACATATTAATATTAAACGAATAAATAAATAAAATTTTAGAAAAAAAAAGAGAAATCAATTAAAGCTAATAAATGAATAATTTTTGAAGGAAGAAGAAAGAATAAAAGAACAAAAAAAAAAAAGTTCTAACCTTTAAGCCTTGATGATTTGCCACAAAATTTGCAAACGTATGGCTTAAGTGCGGTATGAACGGATCGATGTTCCGCTAAATTAGACCGGAATCGAAATGCTTTACCGCAAATTTCACAAATGAATGCTTTATCAGTATGAAACATATGCTGATGTTGTTGAAGTAATTTTTGACTAGCAAAAGTTTTCGGGCATAAATTGCAGGTAATCTCGTGAACCTGAGATGATGATGATAGACCAGTGATTGAATTTGGCTGAGTTGGTAAAACAATAGCAGAAGATGGTGGTGGTATTGCTAATGTTGTTGCTATTGTCGTAGCTATTGCTATTGTTGTTGTTGTTGTTGTTGCTGCTATTTGCGATGATGATGATGATGATGATGGTGATGAAGATGATGATACTTGCTGCTGCTGCTGCTGCTGCTGATGATGATGATGATGATGATGGTGGTAGTGTTGATGATGTTGTTGATGCTGCAACTGTTGGATGGCACTTACTGCTACTGCTGTAGCATTAGTAGTAGTACTAACAGCAACCTTATTGTCTCCGCCTTCGGGCGTTGTTGTCGTTTGTAGCACAGTATTATTACAACTATTACTACTACCACTATTACTTGTGCTATTGCTATTTCGGATCGCGTTAGCAGCTGCTGTAGCTATTGATGCAACTGCTCCAGCTGCTGCTGCTGCTGATACCGATGCAGGTAAAGCAGTAGTAGTAGCTGTTGTTATTGTTGTTGTTGTTGTTGATGATGATGATGATGATGATGATAATAATGATAATGGTGATGATAATAAACTGTTTCCACTCATTATTATTTTTTTTTTATTTTTGTTACAAATTCACCGTTTTTTTTTTTTTAAAAAATGAAAAAAAAAAGAGAGAGAGAAAATAAATATTTGATAAGATAAAAATTCCGTACGGTTAAAACCGGTTCTCTTTTTCCCGAAACAAAATTCCGGATCAACCAATAATAAATTATTCGCAATTTTCCAAATGATAATAACAGTATTTCCAATTGTTGTTGTTGTTGTTGTTATCTTTGAATGGCAATATAGCCATGAATGTGACAATAATCATATAAGTTGATGAATAATTTAGCATCACTGAAAAAGAAAAAAATAATGAGAATTTTCAAAAAATTTAAGAAAGCAAAGAAAAAGAAAAACGAAAAAATTTTTATTGAAGATACTTTCTGGGATAAAAATGAGCTTTTAAATCTTTATTTTAAAAACAGTCGTATTAATGTGAATGAAATGAATGGGATTGCAAGGATGGAAGAAATGGAAGGAAGCCTCCTTGTTTGTATATACGCATGCGTTTTCTTACAAGATTACGATGTATGTTGTGATGTATGTGACAGATATGTGATAGACAGACACATACACACACGCACACATACACTCACTCATCCGTGCATACATATCCGAGAGATGGTGGAAAACCCCGCTACCGAAATATACAACGACAATCGGGTGGTGACACGGGTTGACATGTTTCTCCTCGACAGACAAGACATATGAAAATAATATTATATTAGATGTTGATAAGGCGTTTTATTCTTTGTCATTTTATTCTCGCATTGACAATCCGCGATATGTGATAATCGGGGAATCCCCCGCGGTGACACTTCGCGATACGTGATGATAACCGTGGAATCTCCGTGGTAACAGTCCGCGATACGTGATAAGCACCGTGGAATAATGATGGTAATGACTGAGTACTGAACGTAAACAAACTTCTAGGAATGAAAAAATAAAGGAAAGTTTGTTATTACTGCTGTTATCACCGCTATTACTATTACAACTACTATTGCTACTACTACTATACTACTGCAACTACAAAATTTGGTTTTTAAATTTTAATATAGCTTTTTTCCTTTCGTCGAAGTACTATTTAATCTAATTTATTGAAAAAAAAAAAAAAAAAAAAGAAAGATTATAACTATAAACAAAGTCTTCTATAGTGTTAATTTCATGAAAATCAATTTTCCCAAAAAATATTTCGAAAATATAAAAAAAAAAGTCAAGGAAAAAATTGCTTTTTCCTCTTTGCTTTCCTTTTTTTTTTTCATCAATTTGTATTTTATCTTTTCCGTTTCGTTTTTCTTTTCTTTTTAAATTTTCTAAATTTCAGATATGATAACTCAAATGAAGAAATTTGATTTAGTGATAATTACTGGAAATAAAATTAGCATAATGAAAATAATTCAAATGAATAAAATGTGATTTTTATTTTACTGATTAAAGTTTGATGAAGAAAAGTGAATTTCATAGCAAAATTTAAAATATATGAAATTAAATTTGCATTAAAAAATATTCTAAAATATGTTTATTTATATGCTTGCATATTAGAAAATATTTATAGCATAATGCTATTTAAATTTTATTTGCAATTTTAGTAAAACATTAATACAAACTTGTTAATAGCATTTCGCTTCTATTTTAATGTAAAAATTTCTTACTTAAACACTCAAATATTATGATAATAACGTTGATGATTATAATTATTATAGTTAGTATTACTATTATTATTATTAGTAATATATATATGAAATAACTACCACCATCACTGTCATCATCACCATCATCATCAGAGACAACGATTACCTTGACAAAGGATAAATCATACAACAAAGATACGATGTAAATATAATACGGGAAGTACTTTGACAATGGTGACAGTGATAATTACAATTTTTGACAAGTATTTTTTTTTTTTTTTTTTGTTCCCTATCTGATTGCGACAGGATTATGCTGTATGAGATTTATTTGTAGCTAACAAATTAATTTGTCAATTTATAAGTTAGAACTTTTTTCTTCCCCTTTTCATTCCTTCTTTCTTTCTTTTATAATTTTTCTTTTTTCTTTTCTTGTGTGATCGAAAATGAAATTACTACAACATTTTTTAAAGTTTATAGAATAAAATTATGGAGAAAAAAAAAAAGATATGAAGCATAATTCTTTATAACATTTTCTACTTTTTTTTTTTTCTTTCGCTTTTTCTTAAAATAATCAATGGAAATTAGTGATGATTGATCTGGTTTATTAAATAATTATATTTTTAACATCAACTATTCACTAACCTTCATATTACATTCAGGTTATTTCATACAACTATTGCAAAAATAGGCTAATATTATTTATTTCACAGAATATTAATATAATCAAAAATAATGATAATAATAACGGTAATAATAATAACAACAATAACAACGTAACAACAACAAAACAACAATACAACAGCAATAGCAACAACAACAACAACAACAACACAGCGACAACAACAACAACAACAACTGCAGCGACAATAAGAACAACACCAACATGACAAAGCAACAACAGCAACGACAACAAAAATTGAAATTTCTAACACTAAAATAACACTATTAATGAGAGTTATTAATATGAGTAATATTACCACTATTGAAATTAATATTACTATTAGTACTGTTTATGCTATCTTTTTTGAATAGTAAACATTTGTGATAGCTTAAAAAACCATAACAACGAGAAAATTTTTATGAAAAGTAAGTAGTAGTAGTATAGTTGAAAGTTGATAGTTGAAATGAAGGTGGAATAAGTAAGAAGCATTTTGGAGTTATCAGCAATGTATTCGAGCTACACCACCGATTACTAGTTGCCTTTGTTGTCGAGGAACAAAATGTCTGGTGAATGATGAAAAGCTTTATAGTCATTTGGTTTAAGTTAGTCTGCCAGCTAGCCAAATAGGGACAAACAGATAAGCGACAGAAGAATGGAAGAGAACAGGACAGATGAGGAAATGGGACAAGCTTAGCCATAGGGTATAAATATATTTGTACCAAAGATCGATACAGGCACTCAAGGCTTGTGGTACCTCTTGCCTGTCAACCACAGGGTCTCTAAAACATCATGGAAACGTATTGAATCACAGGACACAAGAAAAGGAAAAGGTGAGGAGGGGTGGGAGAAAAGAGGAAAGGGACAAGGAGCAAGCGACTCACAACACAAAATTTGATTGGACTTCGAGAAAAGACGACAATCATCGAGACCAAAACTGACTAATCCAGCCGTTGCTATTGCTACTACCATACAGCCTTACAACAGCTATAATACACTGAGTTGAACCATCACTGCTACTACCATTATCATCGTCGCCATAACTATCCCCAACATCATTATCGTCATCATCACCGTCATCATTCATCATCATCGCTAACCTCATCATCATCATCGTCATCATTATCCTCATCACCATCACTCTCTTCACCATCACCATTATTATCATCATCACCGTCATCACTTTTCATCACCATCGTCATCATCATCACCGTCATCACTCATCATCGTCATCACCATCACGTCATCATCACTATTCTCATCATCATCGTCATCACCATCATCATCATTAACATCATCCATCTTCATTACCAATTTACCTGCCACTTTTAATCTTCACGTTTTATCTTAAAAATAACTGGCTGAAGTAAATCCTAAGGCAAAATGTACAAACTTTCTATAGTCCAGTTGTACTCTGAAATATTTGAGAAATTCGAGTGAATATAACAGAATAATAATAATAATGGCAATAGTAACGATAATAATATAATAATAATTATTGTTATTATTATTATAAAAACAAATATGATATAGTGCTTATGATTTTAAAAATAGCGCATATTCATGCATGTCACAGAAAATTAAAGTGCTACAAAAGTTCTTATTAAGGTTATCTCAAATTTATAAAAGGATAGCATAATTTTTTAACAAAGATACACATAAAATTTTTTTAAACAAATGGAAATATTTCATGCTTTTTTCATCATCTTTGATTTGAAAGGGCAGGAAATTTAAAATGTTTCCTTAGTGATCTCTTGAATTACTCTTTTTTTTTTTTTTCAGTTTTTTTTAAATACTAATGATAGCAGGAAGTTCAAAAATCTCGGACAAAGATTACCAATATTATTAACATTTGCAAATATTCATCAAGAAAATTTAATCTGAATTCTTTTTTTTTTCTCTTTTTTTCGAAAATCTCGTAATTAAACTTAGTGTTTGGTTTTTTTCTTTTTTTTTTTTTTTTTTTTTTTTTTTTTTAAATTGTTTTTTTTTCTTTTTTGTAAATTATCATTTATTACTTATTAGAACTATCCGGAATTATCCTGAATAACACAACGATAAAATGAAATGTACACACGCCAGATACCAGTGCCATAAACGCCAGATACCCACCTTATTGGAATTTCTCCAGATAACAATCCATTCTAATCCAACAAATGGTTAGGATATCGATATTGTCAACTACAATTTGACAATGACCATTTATTTATTTAGTCAAGAATAGATTATTTGTTTAAAAAAAAAGAAGGACTAAATGGATATGACAGAAGAAATGTCGAAACATTCCGTTGCAGTATAATCATCTGTTAATCTGTAGAATAACCACATGTCAGATCAAAAAAAAAAATAAAAACTAAATACCAAAAATTTTCAGTTTATTAATCATGAAAGACTTACAACCTTTTTTTTTTTTTAGCCAATCGTTGTAATTCACACTTGGCTTGGCTTAGAATATTGATGGTATAAATTGTATTTTTTTTTTGATATACTGTACAGGCCTTAAAAATCGTAAAGTAAGCTAAAAGAAGGAAGAAGCGAAATAAGAGAGAGGATCAATAAATATAGAAGAGGATGCCTAAGCTATGGTGTTGCTTATGGTCTCACCAGGCCTAACTAGCAATGCATACTTGTGAAAAGCATTGTGAGGCCTAGGGTAATTGCGCGCCCCATGTGTGTGTCTGTGTGAATTGTAGGCACAACAATATGTATGG